AAAGAAGGGAATCAGGAGAGAAGCTTCTCCAGGTGCCTCCTCACCCCCTGGGGGAGGCAGGAGGGATACCCCACTTCCTCTCTCAGGCTGCTGAGGGAGAGCCAAGAAAACAACGTAAGAAGTTGGGGGGTGTTTGTATGGAAGGTGAGGTGGACATTCTACTCTACTCAAGAGGCTTGCCACTGAGATGAAGACACTCAATTTTGATGCAGCCACTAGGAGAGGAAGGGTTTTCTGAGGTTCTATTAAATACACACACACACACACACACACACACACACCTTAGAGAGAGAGGAAGGGCTAGAGATAGAAACATCAATGATGAGAGAGAATTACTGACTGGCTGCCTCCTGCATGCCCCCAACTGGGGATTGAGCCCACAACCCCTGGGCATGTGCCCCGACTGGGTATAGAACCAGGGACCTCCTAGTTCATGGGTTGATACTCAACAACTGAGCCACACCAGCCGGGCTGAGATTCTTATGTGATCCCAAGAGTTGGGAATCTGGCCTAACAGAAAAGCTGATCTCTGATTCTATCCAATGAATTCTGAAGTGGCGAGTCTTACCCAATGTGGTAGGTCAAGCAGAGAAGTTATTGTTGGACAAGCTGTGCTTTCCTTATTGAACTGAACAAGTTGGCCCCAGTTCTAGTGGATGCCAAGAAAGGAATGAGTCTTGTCAATGTGACCGAGCCTGATATTGGCTGACTGCTCTGGAGAGGGGTGCCCGGAAGTACAGGAGGTTGTGGGGCGGATCTCTGGGGCAGTAGGGGTCGGGGTACGAGGAGGAGTTAGCCAGAGAGTGTACTGCCTGCTTCAGGGACTGGGAAGCGTGGGCTTTCCCATGGGAGACTTCTACATGACCCACAGAGAAAATCCCAGGAGACACCTGCCCCACAGGCAGCAATGACGGATGGGTGAGAACAATATTAATGAACGAGGCTCTGCTCCTTTTGTGTCTAATTCTGTCTTTTCTGCCAAGATCTTGCGGACATCAACAAGAGAAGAGGAGGAAGAAAAATGAACACGCCCTTTCTTCTCCACTGTAGACCCATTAACACCAGTCAGGTCTTAGACTGGATTTAGACTGGATTTTATTTTAAACACCGGCAATGAGTCCTGATTACTGAAATCTGGCTGGTTGCTGTCACTAACAGTGATTGGAGGACCTGCCCTAGAGACTATCGATGAGTGAGCGAGAGAGGCCTGATGACCTTGTTGAAATTCAGTGGCTGGAGAAAAAGAAACCTCTTTCAAAGGAGTAGTTCCATGACGTTTAAGAAGACTTACATGGATCTGTTTTTCGCAGCCCCCAATGATATTGAGTTAAAAGTGGATCCCCAATATTTATTAGTGATCGATAGGGTATTATTAGAAAAAGGATAAATATAATATAAATCTAATAAGTGAAAAGTTAACGTCAAGCCAAATACATCATTATAATAAAGAAGGGTTGTGCCAGCCAATATTCATGGTTTTGTGTGACATTCACCCACCCATATTTTGTATCTTTTATATAAGAGAATGGATGACACAGTTATCTCATATTATAAAATGTAAACCATTAACACCAGTCAGGTCTTAGACTGGATTTAGACTGGACGTTATTTTAAACACCGGCAATGAGTCCTGATTACTGAAATCCGGCTGGCTGCTGTCACTAACAGTGATTGGAGGACCTGCCCCAGAGACTATCGATGAGTGAGCGAGAGAGGCCTGATGACCTTGTTGGAATTCAGTGGCTGGAGAAAAAGAAACCTCTTTCAAAGGAGTAGTTCCATGACGTTTAAGAAGACTTACATAGATCTATTTTTCGCAGCCCACAATGATATTGAGTTAAAAGTGGATCCCCGATATTTATTAGTGATCAATAGGGTATTATTAGAAAAAAAGGATAAAGATAATATAAATCTAATAAGTAAATTTAATGTCAAGCCAAATACATCATTACAATAAAAAAGGGTTGTGCCAGCCAATATTCATGGTTTTGTGTGACATTCACCCACCCATATTTTGTATCTTTTATATAAGAGAATGGATGACACAGTTATCTCATATTATAAAATGTAAAAATCTCAGCTTATAGAACTGATACAGAAATATATGGAAATTGTTTTTATTACCACTTTTTCTTTATTTTGGAAAGATGGTTTTTCTAGATAGACCTCCAAGAACATTTTTTCTGCCTTATAAGTGGATCTGGGGAGAAAAGGCCAAGAACCACCACATTTTAAGAGCTAATTTAAGATCATGTGTAAAGCTTATAGAACTGATACAGAAATATATGGAAATTGTTTTTATTACCACTTTTTCTTTATTTTGGAAAGATGGTTTTTCTAGATAGATAGATCTCCCAGAACATTTTTTTCTGTCTTATAAGTGGATCTGGAGAGAAAAGGCCAAGAACCACCACATTTTAAGAGCTAATTTAAGATCATGTGTAAAGAGCAATAATACTTTACACTATACTAAGCCAAAACAAAAATGAAATTAAAAATAAACCAATCAATTTACTCACAAACTATCCATAATATGGCAATTACGAAGTATCTCATTTCCCCCACAACACATCTACTGAATGGTGAATTTGAGACGACCACACGAGGAAATTTTGAATACCTCCTCCATGACATTGGGCAAGGGAGTCTGGCAACTAGAATCTAGAGACTAGAGTTTGTATTTCTGGATTTTATTCCCAGATTGGAAGCCAACTCTTAGTGACCCATCTGACTCGCTTACCCCTCAGCTCCGCATGCTTGAGTCTATGCACAGGGCGAAGGACCATCTATCCTTCTGGATACTGGGCAAATGTATGATCTGGACTTGATGTTTTACAACCCTGGGGAGGAAGGGGGTTGGCAGGGATACACTTAGAGCACGGACTGACAGGTAAACCACCTTTGCCTTTAAATCCCCAGTTATTTCTGCCAGTATAATGGCGGGAGCCAGGAAGAAAAAAGCAAACCAATCGGAACGGTGGCAGCAGGGTGGCCAGCCTCGCCAGGCGTGTTCCCTGCACACACCACCACGGAAAGCTCGAATGCCAAGCGAGGCTACGTGCAGCCTCTCTCCTGACACCGCACAATTCATCACCGAGCAACTGGGAAGGGAGTTTGAGGACTTCTGCCTAAAGCTTGTTTTCGGTGGTGATGGGCATTGGTCCAAAGAGACCCTAACAATCTAGAGTTCTCTCTTTTCCCCTCAGAAGGACCTACTTAGGCCCAAAAGGAGATGAAACTTCGGGAGGTTGGGAGAGAAGCTGGTGATACATTCAAACCCACACTCTTTCCATCTCTCCTCTCCTGCTGCCTCGGCTGCTGCTGCTGCTGCTCCTGCTCCTGCCAGCACATATGCTCTCCACCCCCGTGGAGGACCCCCACTGCCAGTTCTCCATCCACTGCCACCATCGGAGGACTCATGCATCCACCGCATCTGTCTTATGTGGCTCTCCCAGCAACGTCCACCTGTCTGTAAACCGCTCTGGGGGGACTTTGGGACAAGCTGGTGATGGCACGGCACTACCAGCAACGTACTGGTGGCACCTCGAGCAGAGATGAGACCTCAATAAGCAAGTAACTAAGGAAGGGGAATTAGCGATTCCTCTTGCAAGTCTGCGGACTGAATTGTAATCCTGCAGTTGTGAGGACTGAGTCTGTGTCTCACCAATCAAAAATAGAGTTCCTTTCTTTGGAGAATTTCAGCCAAAACCGTCTATGAGACAAGGACTTGAAAAATTTCCTAGGGCGGGCACAGAAATGGAAGCAGATAGGGAAGATGTTTAGCTAGTAAAGGAGTTAGAGACATAGCAAGCCGAGCCAGGAAGGCACTCAGAGAAAGATTTAAAAGGGAATCATCAAAACACGAGCAGCAGAAACTCAGAAGCAAAGAAACGTAAAGACTCAAAATGCCCAGCAGTAAGAATCTGTACCCCCGCCTGGATTATTCATCGTCTTCCCAGTGTCTGCTGTGCCCAAGGAAGGGCCCAGTCTCATGGTAGACTTCACAGAGTTGAGTGTAGAATTGAATATTGGCATATTGGCTATAGTGCTCAATGACTATTTGCCAAACTGGACTGAATCATCAATAATCTGTCCCTGACCCTAAAGACCCGTTGCCCGTGTACAGAAAAGGCATGCTGTTGATGTGGGCTTGCGTTACGGGGGAGAGGGATTTGTCTGGGATAAAAGGAGCAGGCTTCTCGGACGGGGAGGGCCTGGAATCCAGCGGCAGCATCCCCTTCTTTAGACGCCTTTAAAAAAGGCTGAACACATGCTCTTGGAAAGCTCCTGACAAAGACCGTCCTGTTTCTGTATCTCCTACAGGAGCTCAGGCTAAGCCAGGCATAAAGGGCGTGCCAAGAGATAGCTGGTGAGCTGAACTGTGTTATGGTCCAGAGGTGGGCCAACCCAGGAAAATCACCACTAAGCTACAGTGCACGGGATATCCATATCTACATTTACACATCTAGGCAGATGTACCTAGAAGTTTAATTTTCTTCTTCCTCAAAGAGCCAATCATATCACATATCTATATCTGTCTAAAGATATCTAACTCTACGTCTATCTATTCTGGGTGATACTGTTCCATTCATATAATCTCTATATCTATCTATATCAATGTACCTATAGAGGTATAGATATGTGGTACAATTGGATCTTTAAGAAAACAGAAAATTAAATTTCTATCTAATTTTATCTCAGCCTCATCCCCACGAGATATACAGAAACAACTTTAATACTTACATTTAGTGGATTTGGAAATCAGGGAAAGCGAGATTCATTTATTTGCTTGAGTTAATCATGGTCAGCAAACTAGTTGCCAATATCGCTTATACTCAGTTCAGTATATTATTCCCATGACCACATTGCTTCTTTTAACACGTGGAAGATTTCCATATATTTAACCCCCAAGTGAAAATAATGACAAATGAGATATAAACAGAGAATCTCAGCATATTAACCCGATAACCTAGGTATCTACTATCGTTCTCAGTACTCACCGCTACTGTGAAAGCACGCACGGGGGAGATGCTGAACGTGGGGTCCTCCGGCCTCTCCTGGTAGACCACGTGGTACCGGGAGATGATGCCATTGGGAGAGCCTGGCTCCGTCCAGTTCAGCAGAACCGAGTGAGCACCAGTGGCCTGAGCCCAGGGCGCCGGCAGGTCTTGGGGTGGGGCCTCCAGTGTCCGTGCTGAGGTCCACAGACTCTCCACGGAGCCCCCGGAGTTCTGGGCTCTGACCTGGTATTCGTAGAGCGTGAACGGCCTCAGGGTGCCCGCAGCATCGGTAAATCCGAAGGCTCCTTCTGACCAGACAAACACCAGGGTCTCCTCGTCAGAGCCAGCAGGACGTCTGAAAGGGAACCCAGGCGGTCAGGGACAGCTGCACACTTCAAAGCCAGGTGGGCAGACAGAGTAGGACATGGCTTTGTAGGAGATTTTGGTATCAACTCAACGGTCTCTTCCTCGTGTCATGACGGAAGGAGACCAGATGGAAGAGTTCACCAGAGGCCTGATCAAATGCCATTTTCAAAAGATGGTTTAAAGATCCTCCTATATAATAAAAGGCTAATATGCAAATTGTCCCCTTGGGAGTTCGACCAACCGGAAGTTGGACCGCTCACTATGACGTGCACTGACCACCAGGGGGTGGCGTGGAATGAAGGAAGGCCCCAGCTGGTAGCTGGCAGCCAGGGGAAGGAAGGCCCTGATCAGCCCTGATCACCAGCCAGGCCTAGGGACTCTAACCGTGCATGAATTTCATGCACCAGGCCTCTAGTATAAATATATTTGGTTAATCTTAAAAAGTGAAACATTACCCATAATCACATTTTCTTGTATTAACTTCCAGACATTTTTTTTAAAATTACACATGCAAATACAGGGTGTCCCCCCAAAATGTAGACATTACGGACACTGCTTCTGTTTATAATTAAGGATTAATTATAATTAATGATTAATTCCAATGGGTTAAATCTGTGTAGGTTTGCAGGGCCTGGCCTTTGTACTTGAGGCAGATACCAGGTACCCGGGGTGCCACTGGATCCATTCTAATGGGCCACAGGGCTCCCGGCCCAGGTCTCCGCTCATGGAGTATTTTCAAAGGTGTCTGCTAGGAATGTAATACAGCAATCGAACATACGAACTTCTATGGGGAGATAACATTTTCCATTTTGTCTGGCTTCAACCTTCCTAGGACAATTCAATTAATTTTTTATTAAACTCTTGTGAATTCCCACACTGAGGTGTAGCCATGGTTGTCATAAAACTGACATGCTTAAAAAAAATGGCCTGAAAGTGTGAATTTAAAAAAATCTATACTATGTAAGAGATTGAGTATTACGTTAGTCTCAAGTTTTATTCACTGATACAACGAAAGAATGCAGCCTGGTTAAGAATTTCTTGTCACTACTGAATACTTAATAAATTCATATTGTGGTGAGGTAAGTATTTTACCTGTGGTGTTAAAAACAGAATATCTTATGTCTGATAAGCTCTGAACAGAAGAGGTTGGACAGGCCACAATTACTCATAGTTTAGTTAAGATTTGGGCTTCAACTGTTCATTTAACGGGACGTGTTTCCTCTTGAGCTCTCTATGGGGAGAGAAATCACATTTTAAGATCTCTCTGAGTAGCCAAATGGCTGTGCTTAAACGCATTTGGGAGATACTTCAATAATACACTTTCCAACTAGAGTTCATTTAATCTTGCTTAACACTAAAAGGAAAAACAAAAATAAGTTTTAAAACTAAGCACTGTGTACTTGAACAGGGAGTCATACTGATGCTGTCTTACTGGAACAGCCTTTACAGAGCTCCCTCCAGCCTGTCAATCACTTAGCCTCCAGGCTATCAGATGGACTGTCGTGGGACCACAGTGCCTGTGTTCGAGTCGCCCTGACTTTACTTAATAGTGACCCCAAAGTGCAAGAGTGATGCTGCCAACTCAGATACGCCCAGGAGAAGCCGTAAAGTGCTCCTGTCAGTGAAAAAGGTGAGGACAGTAAGATAGTTTAAGAGGGAGATTGAGAGAGTCCTCACTGACTAAGTTTTATTACAGTATCTATAATAATAAGAGTGTAATATGCTAATTAGACCAGACATCCTTCTGGGCGACCTTCCGGACAAAGGCGGGGCTGCGAGGGAAACCCGGGTCCTGGGTGCCAGAGGGAAGCTGGTGCTGGCAGCCAGGGGAAGGAAGGCCTACTCTTTTTTTTATTTTTTTAAAATATATATTTTATTGATTTTTGATTTTTTACAGAGAGGAAGGGAGAGGGATAGAGAGTTAGAAACATCGATGAGAGAGAAACATTGATCAGCTGCCTCCTGCATGCCCCCTACTGGGGATGTGCCGGCAACCAAGGTACATGCCCTTGACCGGAATCGAACCTGGGACCCTTCAGTCCAGAGGCTGACACTCTATCCACTGAGCCAAACCAGGTAGGGCAGGAAGGCCTACTCTTGCACGAATTTCGTGTATTGGGCCTCTAATATTGTTATAATTGCTCTACTTGATTAGTTATTGCTGTTAATGTCTTACTGTACCAAATTTATAAATTAAACTTTACCATCACTATGTATGTATAGGGGAAAATTTATCATATATAGGGTTTGTGACTATCTGTGGTTTCAGGAATCCACTGGGGGGGGGGTTTCTTGAAACATATACCCCTTCAATAAAGGGGAACTACTGTATCAGATTAACAGGAAAGCTAAACAGAAGCAACCCCAGTTACAGTCTTGTCCATACCAGGTTACTGTTCTGCTGTTGATTTTTAAAGTCATAAACATCCTATCTCTGTATTGGGGCAGATACTTAATAGGACGATATCACTAACAACAGAAGGGAATTACTGCCCTGCCAGTGTGGCTCAGTGGTTGAGCATCGACCTATGAGCCAGAAGGTCATGGTTTTATACCTGGTCAGGGCACATGCCCAGGTTGCAGGCTGGATCCCCAGTGTGGGGCGTGCAGGAGGCAGCGGATCAATGATTCTCTCTCATATTGATGTTTCTATCTCTCTCTCCCTCTCCCTTCCTCTTTAAAATCAATAAAAATATACTTTTTAAAAAAGGGAATTACTGAGGAGAAATCATTGGGGGAGAGGGGGAGTTTGCAGAGAACAGAGTGACACGCGTTTTAAAAATGGGATTGGCAAATTGGTTTCCTACAATTTAATGAAAATATCTGCATAGGCCAAACCCCGACTTTGGGTTGAGCTAAATGGGTTTCCTTTGGTGGGGTGAGAAGACAGAGGCGGCAAAGGATGAAGCAGAAATTGCAAGCTGTAACCTCCCCAGAAATACTGCAGGCTTGTGGCCGTAACTACATAAGGAGCGCTGCGCAGTCCCAGGATGAAAGCACACGCTGTCTACATTCTATTTCTGTCCTTACGGATTCCTGATTCTTTCCGCAGCTGTCTAAGAAAAATGTGATACTGTTGTTGTCTAAGCACATTTAGACTTCGGCCGGGATCACCGCCGAGTGATGCATGCCCATGTAGGTGAATATAGTGATTGTATCTGGCGGCCCGGTGCGCCATTTCCATTTCACTTTAAATAAAAAACAAAATGTATCTGTGTCAGGCAGTGCCCTTCCCCTGTACTCAGAGGCATCACACGGGCCACAATTATGATTGTGGAGTGATTGTGTCACATTGCGGGAAGGTTTATTGCTTTTGAGCCGGCGAGGCAGTAACACATTCCGCTGCATATTACTCTTTAGATCATTGTTTGCCTGTGACGAGAATAATCAAATGCCATCAAACGCTGTCAAATTCAATTTACAGTATTTTTCATCGAAGCGGGGCTTTCCGCATCCCGTTCCCCGTTTTCCTGCTCGGGAGTTGCGGCGGAATAGCCGCCCTGATCACCAGCTTTATTTACAAAACCGACAGATTGGAGCCGCGTCCCGGTTTAGAGCAGACACTTTATTTCCCTCGATTCAGGATGGAACAGGACGTGGTTCTCTCGTGCAATTAGCATTAAGGGGATGAAAGCAAACCACTCCGAGAGGACGGCCAGCTTATAGCCCTCACAAAGGCGCTCAGCATGAAAGCCTTTACAGGTGCGTGTGCATGTGAGTCAGAACTATGACTCCTCAGCCCGGCCGGCGTGGCTCAGTGGTTGAGCATCAACCTAGGAACCAGGAGGTCACGGTTCGATTCCCGATTCCCGATCAGGGCACAGGCCCCGGTTGTGGGCTGGATCCCCAGTGGGGGGCATGCAGGAGGCAGCCGATCCATGATTCTCTCCCATTCTTGATGTTTCTCTCTCCCTCTTCCTCTCCCTTCCTCTCTGAAATCAATAAAAACATACTGAAAAAAGAAATATGATTCTTCAAATTAACGTCTGCTGAGAAGCAATGTGGCTTGCTCATTTTGGGCAATGCCACCTGTACAACCGGAAATGCAGGAATACATTTCCCCCATCATCATTTTCTGACAAACCCTCAGCGGGTCACTGAAGATTGCTCTGAACCGAAGGGTTTCAATGCTTGAAGGGGCAGAGGGACCTGAACCACGTTTCATGATGTGACCAGGGCGCTGGATTACACAAGGGAAGGTGAGGCCATTGAAAGGAGAGACTGAAAGATGTTGACTGGGGCTGAGGATCTGAGAAGAAACGTGTTGTGGTCTGATGCCTGCTGTGAAGGCCCTGCTTCTGAAAGGGGGTTCTCATCTGCTAATGGTCTATGTCTGCCGTATCTGCCCTGCACACCTCTTCCCTGTCTTACACGGTGCTACGGCCCCAAAGGTTGTGCCCATGCCCCAGTTCATATGCTGAATCGGAACCCCCAATGTGATGGCGTTAGAAGGTGGAGCCATTTGGGGTGTCTAGGTCATCAGAGTGGTTAACCCCCCCAGGAATGGGATTAATGCCCTTATAAAGGGGCCCCCCAGAGCTCCCCAGCTGTTCCCACAGGTGAGGACACAGTGAAATGATTGCCCTCTAGGAACCAGAAGTGGGCACTCACAAGATACTGAGTTCGCCCACGCCTTGATCCTGGACTCCCCAAGAACTGTGAGCCACGCATGTTTGCTGTTCATAAGCTGCCTTGCTATGGTATTTGTTTGTGTTTTTATAGCGGCCTGAACAAATTAACACAGAGTCAGGCGCTTTGCCTCTTGACTCTGTTATTGTTTTACTTTCTTCCCCACTCCATCCCGTGCCTGTCTGTCTGTCTGTCTCTCCCTCTCTCATTCTTTCTCTTCTCCCCTGGATCCATCCATTTCTCCCCACTCCCCCCTGCTCAGGTATGAGAGGCCCCGCTCCCCCTGCTCAGGTATGAGAACCTCCACGTGGCAGGTGATGGGGAGCCTTAGACTTCTCCCTCCAGACCAGTCCCTCCTCTAGGATGGCCCTGTTCGCGGGTCAGGGCCCTGAGAGGACGCTCTGCCCTTCATCAGAGGGAGGGCATGAGGCTCTGAGGTCTCCTCTTTCAGACCCGGCTCAGGCCAAGCTGGCACATGCTGGCTGAGGCTTTTCCCCTCGGATAACATGTCCACGTTCCCAGTCCCAAGCTTAGTCCCCAGTAGGTGCTGCACAAATCATCAATTCCCACCCCTTCCCTTATGGACACAGAAAACGTCTCGGATTCTACAGTCCTGGAATGGCACGCGTTCTTAATTAAACACAACAATGATGATCGATGTTACCTGTGAATAGAGTAGTGGGTGATGACTCCGTTTGGCTTTTTGGGCGGCATCCACGTAACCTCTATGGAAGTGGACCCCAGGGCCCTAAGAACAGGGGGGCTCAGATCCTTTGGGGCTGCTTCTGATGTTCTGACCAACGTCCCACTGCTCACTCCACAGCTTCCTTGGAAAAAAAAATCAAGACCTTTAGTAACTTACCAAGCAGGGAAAAGATTTACATATGCACATAGAAGGGTAAGGATATCGTGGAAATCATTATATCTGAACTTTCATATACACATTTCTACACATATTTTAGATGAGTACTGTAAACCTCTACAGAATTTGAATATTGAAATACAGAATCATTTTTGGAAGGTTCAGTAATTAATTACCACATCTTTATAGAGGCAGAGGCAAGAAAGCTTATGCTCGTCTGAATTGAGGTTCCTCTAGTTCAGCGGTTCTCAACCTTCCTAATGCCGCAACCCTTTAATACAGTTCCTCATGTTGTGGTGACCCCCAACCATAAAATTATTTCTGTTGCTACTTCATAACTGTCATTTTGCTACTGTTATGAATCGTAATGTAAATATCTGATATGCAGGATGTATTTTCATTGTTACAAATTGAACGTAATTAAAGCACAGTGCTTAATCACAAAACCAATATGTAATTATATATGTGTTTTCCGATGGTCTTAGGCGACCCCTGTGAAAGGGTCGTTTGACCCCTTTAGGGTCGTGACCCACAGGTTGAGAACCGCTGCTCTAGTTCATCATAGTCCTAGCAACAAAGCGATAATGTGTTTAATTATTTTTCTTTCTTATGCTTAATTTCTTAAGTTGTGACCTACGCGTCTTCTATGCTCTTAATCATTTTTTGCCAGTATTTTAAAAGAATGACCATCTCTCAACACACAGGAATCAAACAATGAACTTGAAGGATATTGGTTCTTCATAGCCTATGGAGGGACCCAGAGAGGAGACGTTGATTTTACATGTAAATCAAGGGAACATTAATGAAAAGCTATTTCCATGTTGATTTGCTGAAGACCACATCGGGGACAGCAATGCCCTTCAAACCGAAAGGCCTTGGTCTGGTTTGCACAGAGAAGTGGGCAAACTGAGTCACTTTCAGAATGAAAGGAGAGCAAAATCACTGACCCCCTCGTCCTAACCAACTTTATGGGAACTAGTACTCATCTGACGAACAAAATAAACAAAATAGAAACAGACTCACAGGCACAGACAACAGACTGACAGCTGCCCGAGGCGAGGGGGCTGGGGGCTGAATGCAAAAGGGGAAGGGATTAAGCAAAGAAAAACTCAGAGACACAGACAACAGTCTGGTGATTAGCAGAGGGAAAGGGGGTGGGGGAAGTAGAAGAGGCTAAAGGGGGAATAACTGGTGATGGAAGGAGACCTGACTTGGGGTGGGGAGCACACAATGCAATATACAGATGATGTGTTATAGAACTGTATACCTGAAACATACAATCGTGTTAACCAAAGTCACTGCAGTAAATTAAAAAACAAGACAAAACAAAAATGAAAACAAAACCAAAAAACAGAAGTTCCGCCCTAACCGGTTTGGCTCAGTGACAGAGCATTGGCCTCGGGACTGAAGGGTTCCGGGTTCGATTCCTGTCAACGGCACATGCCCTGGTTGTGCAAGAGGCAGCCAATCAATGAGTCTCTCTCACCATTGATGCTTCTCTCTCTCTATCCCTCTCCCTTCCTCTTTGAAATCAATAAAATATATTTAAAACAAACAAACAAACAAATCCCAGAAGTTCCTATGGGACATGTAGCACAGTCTTATCTTCAACATTTCTTTAACCTAAGATGAAGTACACCAATATGAGTTACATTTTTCCTTTTCTTAGCAATTGGGTGTTATATAATATAGAACATTTAAGAGTGAGAGAGGCAGATGACTTCACTGACCACTAGTCTAAGCCACACAACTCAAGGTGACAGGTTATGTACATAAGATAGGGGTCAGGGAAGGGCCTTAAAATATCTATGATTCATTTGAGTGTAACTCAACTTCTAAATAATGCCCCCTTTCCCACCAGCCCCTCCCGAATAAAATTTAAACAGAACCAAGGTGACCACATTGCCCATGCGATTTTTGTAATACCCGACTTGTCTTATAAATACCAGCGATCCCTCTGTGCGGTGCAGGTGTTTTTCCTTTCAAGGGCCTGATAAAACAAGACTTTGCAAAACCACTCTTTTAATTCTATATTTAAATATTCATGATTTAATGTGCAGAAATGCATAATGCTCCACTCAACACCAGGCGCTGATTTTTCTGGGTAAATAGCTCAGGACAAATGAGAAATGAAATGTTAGCCTTTGTATTTGAATTGAGAATCTATCCCTTCTTTTTTTTAATATATAAATTTTTTTTTTATAATAGCCCAGAACAAGTGTCTGAAAGACATTCACCATTTTGACACGCTTGTATCCTTATCTCATACGGTGTAAATGGAGCCAAATTTCCCAGCAGGACGGACTGACGCTGACCCACAGCGGAGGTGACAGGTGGCACGCTGCCAGCACTGAGTAGGACACTGTACTCCACGGGCATCTGGGGGATCAGTATCCCTTGAGAGAGAGAGAGAGAAAAAACACATGTGTACGCTGCACAGAACGGTCAACAAATGTCTATCTCTCAAGAACAACATATATTTAAACTTTTTTTTTAACATAAAGGCATATTATTGCTTAATATAGCACTTAATAACGGCATGCAACGTAAACTGGGAAATACTAGAAGGCATATTCCAAAGTAAGAAATGAGCATCACCATTTAAAAAAACAAATGAAGCATAATAGCTCTTTTCAGAGAGATACTCTACAGGCAAATAAATACAAAGCACATTTCACCTCAAAAAGTACAAGGCAATTAGAAATGGTGTCACAGGCTTTTCCTAGGCTTACTCTTTTTTTTCTCTCGTTTTTTTAAAAAATATAGTTTATTGATGTTTTACAGAGAGGAAGGGAGAGGGATAGAGAGTTAGAAACATTGATGAGAGAGAAACATCGATCAGCTGCCTCCTGCACGCCCCCGACTGGGGATGTGCCCGCAACCAAGGTACATGCCCCCGACCGGAATCGAACCTGTGCCCCTTCAGTCCACAGGCCGACGCTCTATCCACTAAGCCAAACCGGTTAGGGGTCCTAGGCTTACTCTTAAGATATATATATATATATATCTCCCCACCAGTTTCGCTTGTGACAATAATTTTTCTGTAGGCACTGTGTACGCATCCAGTCTGACACAGATCTTTGACATAATAGCCCATAAAGTATCCAAATCAGAGCCTACCTAGAGAATCCCCAGTGCATTAATTATGGAGCCAGGACAGTCCACTCTGTCAGTGAGACTTACGGGTTTGAATACATATGAAATTTGGGTTTGAAAACTGTCATTTTTCACAATACATCCCACGAAAGGAGGTCTTGTCATGTGAGCCTCTTCACAATGCAGTCATCTGATTGAATGACTGTAAGCTTTATTGGATCACACTCAACATACACGCTGGCTTAAGGGGAGGAATGGGCCTTGAATGAGGAACAGAGTAAGTTTTCCCACGAAGTTTTCTCGCTGATCTGACGATCATCATGTTTATGGGTTTAATGATTCACCTTTGTAGTACCTACGTTTAACGTTGTCATAGAAACAATGAAATCTACAGCACAGGACTCAACCCACGAGACGGGGTCTGAAGACCGCAATGTGGTTTTGCTTCTGGCAGCTATAGCCTCAGTATACAAACGGCACAAGAGCTGCTACAAACCAGAGCTGCGCGGGGATTTGTGAAACAGATAAAAATAGGAGTCTCTGAAGGAAACACTGATCACAGGCAAAGGACTGGCCACTTGCTCCCTTTGGAAAAGTGCTGGACTGTGCTGCACTGAGACTGAGAATTTTCACTTTAAATGCAGAACCTCCTTGTTAAACCACCTTTTACATTTTAATCCTCACCCGAGGGTATTTTTCCATTGATTTTAGAGAGAGTGGAAGAGAGAGGGAAAGACAGAGAGGAACATCAATGTGAGAGAAACACATCAACTGGTTGCCTCCTACACATGCCCTGACCAGGGCCTGGGTTAGGGAGGAGCCTGCAACTGAGGTACGTGCCCTTGACCGGAATCGAACCTGGGACCCTTCGGTCCACAGGCCAACGCTCTATCCACTGAGCCAAACTGGCTAGGGCTCTTTTACATTTTACATGTAAAGCTTCCTGCACACCCACTACTGGGGATCGAGCCTGCAACCAGGGCAAGGAATCTAACCAGCGACCTCCTGGTGCACTTAACGATGCCAAACCCACTGAGCACCACTGGCCGGGCGAGGCACAGTCCTGATCTAGGTTTAAACACGGCTAGCCAAAGCACCAACCTGCAAAGACACTTCTCACGTCTTGGCTAATCAAAAGCAAATGTCCTTCGCGTCCACCGAGGAGGGGCGGAGGCAGAAAATGCCCCTGGATGCTGCGAGCCTGTCAAACACTGACACGCGTGCAGGAAGGAGGCCCCTCCACTGTCACAACTTCCAGGACGGTGACATGACAGCCCCCTGTGTCCCCGCCAAGCCCGTGCCATCTGCAAGGAGTCTGAGCCGGCCCGGCCCCCTGGTATTCCGATGGCTAACTGGGATGAAGTGGGCATGTTTGTGAGAGTCAGCTGGGAAGCCCCAAGACCGGGTTGGCCCCCGAGTTCATGCATTTATGTCAGACCGGGAGGAGCAGTGGAAACCCGAGTGAGCCAATTTCCCCTAAGTGCAAATGGCAGCTGCGTTATTCCGTGTCAAAGCTACCCGTCGCCCGGTGACAGGCTGCCGCAGCCCATTTCCCCGCTCGCTAAAGAACAAGGGGCCCGGTGCTTAATATTCCTTGCAGGGCCCCCTTTCATAATTTACAACAACTAGATGCTGATAGGTTATTTAACATTTATGAAGTTAAGATGTAATCAGAAAAACCCTGATTACCTTTACAAATACAAAAGTTAAATTATTCCACTTTTCTCTCTCTCTGTGGTTTCATTTCACAGCAGGTGCGTACTTTACAATGGGACGAGTCAATCAATCTTAAAAAAATATATATATTTTTTAGGAGCTGGAGCAGGAACAATTCTAACAGGGAAACTATTAATTCAGCTTGATAGCCTCATTTGCTTCAAAACGTCAGTTGCACTTAACATACTGCTTTTAAGAAATCAGCCTAAATTCTCCTTGGTCCAGGTAGGAAGAGCGTGGCTATGTCCTTTTGGGGGTGTGAAAGTGAAACACACATCCATAGTTTGAATGATAGTTGTCACCTTATGCACTCTATCCTATTACATAGCAGTGTTCCTGGCAGGAGGGACAACGTCTCACAGTGTTCAGAATCACGCCTTCCCCGTGGGTGTGGCTCAGGAAAGATTCTCATGTCAGTGACAATGAATGGATGAATCAATCCATCCAAAGGCAAATGAACTGCATCCATGAAGATGAAGCTACAAGCGCAGTGACCCTGCTGGGTTGCTGGTGAACTACCCTTGAGCTACTTTGCCCTCATTCATATGTGCCATACCTACAGCAAAGTTTGTGAGCTTTTGATCTGTATCAGAGTAGAATGCAGAAAGAATCATTTACTCCCCGCACTGTTTACACTGAAAAATAGTGAGAAAATATAGCACAGTGGTTGTGACCACAGAATTTGGAGTCAGACTCACTGTGATTCGGCTCTGACACCCATGTGACGAACCAAGAAAAATAGCTCATCACATCTACACTGACTTTCCTCATTAGTAATGTAGGGAAGACCATAGGCCACTACAAGATGCACTGAGCATTAACTGAAATATGTGTTAATCTTGTACAAAAATGCCCAGTACATATTAGAACTCAATACAGTAAGATACATTTAGTTAAACACCCAAAGCAAAGGCAACAAAAGCAAAGTAAACAAGTGGGACTACAGCAAACTAAAAAGCTTCTGTACAGTAAAGGAAACCACCAACAAAATGAAAAGGCAGACTATGAAATAGGAGACAATACATATAAGCTACATACATGATAAAGGGTTAAATATCCAAGTATACAAGGAACTCATACAACTCAATAGCAAAAAAAAAACACACACACACACAAAAAAACAGCAACAAAAGCAAACAAACTATAAAGGGTTAAATATCCAAGTATACAAGGAACTCATATAACTCAATAGCAAAAAAAAACAACAACACAAAAAACAGCAACAACAAAAGCAAACAAACAAATAAAAATAATCCAATTTAAAAAATGGATAAAGGACATGGAGAAACATTTTTCAGAAAAAGATACACAAATGGAAGGGTGCGATCCTTCAATTATAAGATGAATAAGGTCTGAGGATCTAATGCATAACATGGTCACTATATTTGAAAACACTGTGTTCTATAATTGGAATTTGCTAAAAGAGAACTTAAGAGTTCTAATAAAAATATGCAAATAAACCAAAAATCATTAATATAAGTTCTACATTTCTCCTGAAACTCACGGTCACTTGGTTATAAGAAAAGTGAAACACTTGCCAATGTTGAATCATCCCATTTAATGCAACATGGATTCTTAGAAATCTGAATGCCCATTTTCCCTTTAAGTGGACAGTATCTGATCTAATACCTAGTACATTGCAGTCGGTGATCTAACACAGTGGTTGGCAAAACTCATTAATCAACAGAGCCAAATATCAACAGTACAATGATTGAAATTTCTTTTGAGAGCCAAATTTTTTAAACTTAAACTATATAGGTAGGTACATTGTTATTAACTTAATTAGGGTACTCCTAAGGCAGTGATGGTGAACCTTTTGAGCTCGGCGTGTCAGCATTTTGAAAAACCCTAACTTAACTCTGGTGCCATGTCACATATAGAAATTTTTTGATCTTTGCAACCATAGTAAAACAAAGATTTATATTTTTGATATTTATTTTATATATTTAAATGCCATTAACAAAGAAAAATCAACCAAAAAAATGAGTTCTCGTGTCACCTCTGACACGCGTGTCATAGGTTCGCCATCACTGTCCTAAGGCTTAGGAAGAGCCACACTCAAGGGGCCAAAGAGCCACATGTGGCTCGCGAGCCGCAGTTTGCTGACCACGGAGAACGCCAAGTGGTCCAGTGTCTACAGAAAGGCCACACTGTGGCTAGCTACCCTTTCATCAAAACTTGATTAATAAAAAACATTTATATTCCTAAGCAATACTAATTGAAATTTCTCAGTGGAAGAATTGTTGCCAATTCTTTTCTTTAATGGACTCAGCAATACATGTGGAAGGAAAAGCACAAGTATTCTGACATTATGCGTTAAGCCTAACTAACTCACCATCTTTAGGGAGAAAAAGTGCCTGCTACATGCGATGACATTGTTAATTAGAACATGATTAGGGCTAGCAGAGTTCAAAATATAGTCATCACCTTGATAAATGAGAAAGGCTCATCACTGCATCCAGAGCTTAAATAATTTTGCATGTTTAGATTCTCAAACAGCAGGGAGATCTGTCTCCATTATTCTGAGCAAACCATTTGTGTACCATGAAGCAATTTGCTTTCTCATTTTCTATACATTTTCACCCACTAAGGTAGCGTGGGTCCTCTGGTCTCTTTCATATCAATGTGCGAGTCCTGACCCCAAGGTTCAGAGCTGGTGAGAGGTGGGAAGACATGTTTGGGAATAAACCAACCTGGTCTACATCGTCTATAGATTTGAATAGTAATTAATGGCCAGCATGGACCCAGTGCCTACTAGATGTTTTGCAATGGTGTCTTGCTGACTTCACAGAATAGCAATGCAGAGCAGGCATTTCATCTCTTTTTCACAGAAAGAAATATCAAGATATTTGTAAACTGAAAACCCACTTAATTGCCTAGGCATTTCTCTATAGCCAACCAACCACCTTGACTTTGTTCTCTGAGCAACTCACTTGTGTGAGGTCCCTCTGTCCATACAGACCCAAAACCAAAATACACGTAAAAAAAACCCCACCCAGTTAATTTTCCCACTATTTTCACTTTGGGCATTCAAAGGACACTGGTTTGATTTATGTTTTCGGAGAATTAGTTTTTCTGGGTGTGGGTGATTCATAGTCCCTAATCTTGTGGGACCTTTAAGAAAGGTTTAGCTTCCTCGATTCCATCTAAGAACTTCTTTTAAAAAATATTTTTATTGTGCCTTGATCAGTTTGGCTCAGTGGATAGAGCGCTGGCCTGTGGACTCAAGGGTCCCAGGTTCGATTCCGGTCAAGGGCATGTACCTTGGTTGTGGGCACATCCCCAGTTGGGGGTGTGCAGGAGGCAGCTGATCGATGTTTCTCTCTCATCAATGTTTCTAACTCTCTATCCCTCTCCCTTCCTCTCTGTAAAAAATCAATAAAATATATTTAAAAAAATACTTTTATTGATTTCAGTGAAGAAGGGAGAGGGGGAGAGAGAGATAGAAACATCAACGATGAGAGAGAATCATTGACTGGCTGCCTCCTACACACTCCCTACTGGAGATTGAGCCCACGACCGGGGCATGTGCCCTTGACCGGGAATCGAACCGTGACCTCTTGACTCATAGGTCGATGCTCAACCACTGAGCCACGCCAATTGGGCTCTCCAGGAGATTCGTACTCAGTATTTCCAGGTGATTCTTATGCTCATTCAGGCTGAGTAACTCCAGGTAGGGATGGCTGTGCCCATCTCTCAGCTCTGCCTCTGATGTAGTATCTTGTAATGGCAGGGGGCTCTGATCTCTACCCAGAGAGCTCCTGATTGTGAGCAAATAAACAGTTCCCAGTCATTACAGGGTTGTTTTCTTCCTGTTTAAAATATATATTTGTGACAATCCAGGAACAGAAAAATATTTTTATTATCCCAATCAAAACACAGCATGAGGTACTTCCCAATAAAATCAACCGCAGATTATACACGAGTCAAAATCACCTGCCTGTTTACTGAGTTCGAAATCCTTCTAGGCACTGGGAAAAGAGTGTAATTTAAGATTTTAATCTTTCCATATATTACAGGGTTTCTGTAATGGATTTTGTGCATCTGAAACTAAAAGATTGACAGGTCTGGATATTATAGATTTATTAACCATTGGTTACACGGGCAGAGTTAGTGTGTAAACCTTTTCTGCAATAGCTCCAGGGCTGGGTTGGAATGAGCAATTTCTGCAGAGCTTGTGGTAGACAAGAGTTAAGATTCTATTAAAGAAGCAAAAGATGTATTATATGTCACAATGATCCCTTTCTAAATGGAAACATTTTTCATTAAACGCAGATGTAGGATGTTGAACTCAAACAAAAAAATGGCAAAATACAGGGAAATATGAAAGAATTCTTAAAAATGGACTAACCCCCATCCTGCTGTTTTACAGTCATGATGGGGGCCTTGGGACCTAGAAAATGTTGGAGCAAATACATTTTTTAAAAAGTGAGTAACTAAAGGCAAAAATAATTATTTGAAAATCACTGTCACTAACTAGAATATTTCAAACCAGATAATGCCAATTATATATATTACCTCATTCAGTCTTTATAAGGACTCTGTACATGCAGGAACTGCCATTTTCTCCATTTTACAGATGGGGTGACAGACCGAGAGAGAAAAAATGGCTGTTTGAGGTCAGCTAATAGGTGGCATTGCTGGGATCTGAATCCTCATTTTCTCATCTCCCCTACCCCGCTGCCACCTGGGTGTCTTAAAAGAAAGAGGTTTCCAAATCCTCACTAAGTGGGAAGTCTTCAGATGACCAATGGCCACTTACGCATGTGAAAATGTTAAAAGCGCAGGTGACGTGGTGAGCCAGGGACCTCTCTGGTCACATGGCTCTCTGAGAGTCTGGTTAGTAGAGGACCCTGGTCTGAGTCTGAGAACCCGGCAGTCAATAGGGTGGATCTGGTGCCAGACGGGCTCTGTTCTGCCTCATTTTACTCTGTGGCATGAAAACACGATGGAACTATCAAAATGCCAAGGAGCAATATGCCGAAGGTCCCGAAGGTCGCAAGCCAGCGCTGCTATTCCGAGAAACTAGAAATCAGTGCATTGATATACGTGTGAAGCAGCAGACATTTTTAGGCCCTGGTACTTGAAATAAAGTACTGCTTTGATAGAATAACATATATCTGGGTATCTATATATCTCTATATCTAGCTATATGTAGGCATGCATATGTAACTTATACATGCATAGCTGCAAAAGTATGGCTTGGATTATTTTGTTTATATTATTCAGGAAACATGATTTCCTAAATTCACATACATAAAATCCTTACTTGCAATGAATGTCCTCTAAAATGTTTCTCTCTCTCTCTCTCTCACACACACACACACACACACACACACACACACACACACACACTATTTATTTACCTGGTGGGGTCCAGGCTACGAACACGGAGTAAGGCCCAATCACAGTGATATTGTATGGAGCATGGATTTCCTCTGGTGTCAGGAGAGGTGTTTGTACAAGGTACTCGTCACTAAAACTACTGCCGCCTCCAGTTGTGGCTTCCAACTTGTAAATGTACCTAAATCAGAAAACAAAACATGCTGTAAGGCAAAGCACGAGAGGACTGAACAAGGGTTGCTGGTTTTTCTACCCACAGCTTAGTCCTAAATTTGTGGCAACCTGCAATTTGTTCCGTTTAGAAACTGCGCCACAGACTAGGTAGTTTGTCTAGCACGGGCAGGATTGCCTGCAGGTAATCACTATTTCTGTCCCTCCCCACTTTATTTTAAATAATATATTTTTATTGATTTCAGAGAGGAAGGGAGAGGGAGAGAGAAATAGAAACATCAGTGATGAGAATCATCGATTGGCTGCTTCCTGCACGTCCCACACTGGAGATCAAGCCTGCAACCTGGGCATGTGCCCTGACCTGGAATGGAACTGTGTCCTCCTGGTTCATAGGTTGACACGTAACCACTGGGCCACTTTATTTTTAACCCTCTAGAAATCCATGGCTTTTCTTCAAGATTTCAGGAGCACCTTGGAGTGTGCTAGTACACTGTGGAGGATTCCAATTAATCTTCCCCATTTTTAAATGGGTTAGAGTTCAGGGAAATATGTTTAGAGGAAGATGTTTCTAAATTGATCTGCCATTCTCTACAATAAAACTAAATTGATCTTTATTCTCTGCAATAGAACATCTGTTGATCTAAAATATATCTTGTCTCTGCTGAGAAATGAATTGCAAATAGTGGATTTTCCCCCTAAAACCACCCAGGTCTATAGAGAGTGTAGCAAGCAGAGAAAACATTGTATCAGAAGAAAAGGTAGTTGACATAAAACAAAACTCTTTAAATTTCTTTTAGTGCTAGTTTAGGGATGCATAATTTGAAGATATGATATTTTTTAAAGTTTAATACTTTGTGTTTTTTATCTACTTAAAAATTCTCATGCTTTCAAGTCATCTAGAAGATTTTTAAGAAATTTCGTGTATCCTGAAGACTAACATAATGAGCTAGCTCTTGGATCATTCACATCTGAAATGGATTCAATGATCTCATCAGCTATTCAATGGCGAATGAATGAGATTAACTAATTAACTGAATATTGTTTTAGTGGGAGATAAACTCTTTTCAACCCTGAAAAATATAAAACTCTAACTGTTTGATTGGTAAAGTCTTCTCTTAGTTTACCTGCTGTTGGGCGCCAGGTTTTGATCAGTGAAATGCTGGTCCTCGCTGCCCCCCAGGAAAACTGAGGTCCCATTACGAATCAGCTGATACTGAGAAATGAGGCCGTTGGGCCTTTCCGGTGGCCTCCAGTATAATTCCACGGCTGTAGAATTGATGATAATGTGTCGAGGTGTCGCCCACACGCCTGGCAAAAATAACACAATGAGGGTTCAGTGTTAGGATACAATACACATCTCATCAATGCCATAGCATACTCGGATGCTCTTATCTGTTGATAAAACAAATCTCATGGCAAATGAGAAGATATTTTTACTTTGGAGGTGAAATACACAATTGGAGATAGATATATATATATATATATGGCTTTATTTTATTTTTGAATTGCCCTTAAGAAGTGAATGTCATCCAAGTAGGGATAAGAAACTTCTCTGATGTGGCTGTTACTCTGAATGTAATCAAGACCTGAGGGAATATGTGAAAGCAACATAACCTAGTATTTACCTGATATATGGCTTTATTTGATTTTTGAATTGCCCTTAAAAAGTGAATGTCATCCGAGTAGGGATGGGAAACTTCTCTGACGTGGCTGTTACTCTGAATGTAATCAAGACCTGAGGGAATATGTGAAAGCAACATAACCTAGTATTTACCTGAATTACCCACGTCACCAAATAAGCCTACTTTCTCTTTGCCTCTCTGACGCCATGTGCTGTTTCTTTTCCTCCTTTCTCTCGGCCAATCCCTCCAGCCCCACAGGTTCCGTTTCCCCCACTGAACCACAGAGTGGCTTAGTCCTCAGAGACCTAGGTCATCACCTTTCCTCTTCCCTTCCTTCCTCTCCTCTTTCCCCACACTCACTTTCTACGTGATCGCCACGCAGTCTCCGTTTTCTGGATCATCTGCATGCTGAACACGCCCAAGTGCCAATCATGAGACTGAAACTCTCTCCCCAGCTTCAGTCTCATGAATCTAACTGTCTACTTGACACCTCCATTTGGATGACTAATTACACATAGAAAACTTCAAACATCCAAAACGGAACTCTGGGTTTCCTGTCTACAATCTGCTCATTTCCCGATGTTGTCCGTCTATTGGGCCAAAAAATTTATTCTAGAGGCTTTCACTTTTCCCACCCTCAGATGCAATCTATCATCAAGTCTTGCAGGTTATCTACCCTGAATGCATATCATTCTCTATATTTTTACTGCCATATTTCATTTTAATATTTATAAAAGTGCATTCTCTCTCTCTCTCTCTCTCTCTCTAGGCATATATATACATGCCAATGCAATCATTTTAAAAAATAGATTTTTATTGATTTCAAGAGTAAAGGAAGGAGATAGATAAAAACATCAATGATGAGAGAGAACCATTGATCAGCTGCCTCCTGCACAACCCCCACTGGGGATCGAGTCCACAACCCGGGCATGTGGCCTGACTGGGAGTCGAACCGTGACTTCCTGGTTCATAGGTCAACACTCAACCACTGAGCCATGCCAGTCAGGCCAATGCAATCTTTATAAAATATATAACCCTTTTAAAATGATTCACATAATTTCAACTCCTTATGCTAGCCTGGGTGGCCCTACATTTTTCTGGCTCTGGCCTACCAGGCACTCTTCTCTCCATCCACAAGACTCCTTTATCCCCAGACGTTTCCAGTTCTTTCCCACCTCTGGGCTTCTGCACTTCCATTCCCTCTGCCTGGAACACTCTGCTCATGACAGCGTGATATTTTTGCATTTGAACTTCACAGTTCAACAATGTGTGTAAATATTCCCTTGTCAGGGAGGTCTTGATTAACCCCCCTGCCCTAACTCCAACTTTAATCCTATAAAATGATCCCAACCTAGTTCCTCTCTATCACATGCCCATTTCTATTTCCCTCTGGACACCCCTAGCATCATATTCCTCTTCTTTCTTTGATGTTATCATTATCTTCATGTTGTTATAATTATACAGTTTACTTCTTTCTACTGTGTCAGTACAGTTTGCTCTATGGGTCTTCCCTGTGTTATATGTCAGTCTTTGTAGATAGCACAATGCCTAATGAATGCTGAATGAATACATTTGTTGGAAATAGCTCTCCTGTAAATTACTATGCTAAGCATTCCAGGCAGTTCCAACAATTATAGGGACGACTAAGACGTGGCTCATTCCTTTAAGGGGTCTACCATTCTGTTTAAAGGGTAAAATATGTGCACAAATAACTGTCATTCCAGGTCGAACATCCAAGTACTCTTATAGACGTACAAACATACTGGTGGAGAACCCAACGACGAGAAAGTTCAATGCCACCACTTCATGTTGTCACCTACGTATGTTCTAAAGGGACACTGTCATCTCTTCAGCTTTTAAAAACCCAGTTCAATATTAGGTTCCTTTAATGAGTAGTTTTTGCTTGATTGTATCTACTGTGTAAGTTACTCAGTTACAGGTAAGATGGTGAAACTTTAAAGAAAAATTTTCAGGAAATTCAAATGCAATTTATTTAGAGTGATTTCAAAATGGCTCAGACTTACTGATTGTCTAAGGAACAACTTGTTCCTGAGAAGAAAGTAGTTCATTTTGTTCTGAAAGCTTGCTCTACGTTAGATACTTGGACACATCCACAAATCATAGTGTATGTTCTTTTTTCTGAGTTTCTCTGCCAACAGCAACCAACTAATTCGAGTTCTGACTTTAACATGATATTAATTTAAAAGAAAGTACAAAAATTCATTCATAATCTTCTTCCCACAGTCAACTCTTAGTCACCTTGAAGGGATGTACTAAAAATCAGCAAGATATAAACAATAATATTTCTTAGCTTCCAGTTTAACCCAGTCAATACAGCCTGTGGATATGGAGTAGTTAATGAAATAAAATGAAGCAACATTTTGGGTTTGTGTCATGTTCTAGGTAAAAGCTGAGTTTCATATTTGTACAAGCTCTGCTCATGTTGGCAACAACCCTGTGTCCACTGGTTTGGTTTATAAGAGGAACCTGAAATATGACAGACCAAGGGCTATGTTTTTATTTCTATAATGATATGGAGACAGTGTTATCTTGGCAGCTGCAAGGAATCGTTGAGAGAGTGAGACCACCTTTGGTGAGAAGTCTTAATGAGTCCCAGATGGAGAATCTGTCCCTCTCTGAGCCTGAGTCTCAGGTGGCAGCAGAAAACCTATTCCACATAATACAAGGGCTGAGATAAGGCAGCTCAAGAGAAGAAAATGCATGGGCACGAGGGAAACTGCCTTGAGTGGGTAAGCTAGCTAAGAGGGCAAGAGCGAAATTCCAGAAGGAAGCCTTGGTGGGTCTCTTGACATCCTAACCACCAAAAAAGGAAGATGTCTACTGGATTCCTTTGAAATTCATCTTGAGTGCCATGTAATGTTACCCACTCTCATGTCTCTAAACATTTTCATTCCAATAAAAAAAATCCCAATATTTGTTGTGGATTGGCTTTTTTTTTTTCTGGAAGAAGGTGAAGGGAACCAGTTTCCTATTAGATGATGCCAGGGAGGCAGTGACATCCGGACTATGTACTATTTGTTAATTTATTCATTTGGCATTCTACCCAATGTTGTGTCATTTTCAGTGTTGGGCCATTCTAAAAAGAAAGCAGCAATTCAAATTCACCCCACTATTTGACTAAAGGAATTTTCTATGAGGGCAGAATTGTAGAGAATTATGTCCAACTGATCAATGAGGTCATGATATACATTCACTTTTCTTCTTTTTTTTAGATTGAAAATGAGAGAGAAGTGAGAGGAGCTGAGGGTGGCTCTGAACAAATGCTTCTTTTATTTCTCTCCATATCCACTTAGGACACTCAAACGTTAGACCTTCAATCTACGTCTAATTCGCGCCAATAGGCATTTTATAATGGTGTTTGGGTTATTAATTTAAGATGATGTGTTTGTTTCCACTTTATAGTACAACAACAGAACTTAATGCTGCTGGTGATTGGTTTCCCTACAACTCCCCAGTTAAACACGCCGACTACATTTATTTCACATACAAGTTATTCACAAATGGCACTTATGCAGCCAGAAAATGGATTCTAAATCCATTGTTTCTCCTGTGCGGGAAAGCCCATTTCGTTTATTACTCCTTTGCACAGCTATTTGTGTTCAAGGAAAGGTGCATAAAGTTAAAGAAAAAGGAAGTCAAGGATAGCATTTCTCAGCTCACACTCCCCTGTGCTGTTGAAAGCTATAATTTTTAAGTCATGAAATCTGAGTCCTTTCAAAAGAAATGCTGTTGGGTTTGTGGGAAAATAGACACTTATCTTCTAAGAATTTAAATGTATGGATTTCATGAGTAAACTGGAGGAAGAGACCCTGTTATTTTATCAGGCTTGAGTTTCAGCCAAAAGTGGCTGGTAGATCCTTCAGAAATTATCCATTATCATCAAAGTATCCATTTGATAGTTTACCTTTCCAAAAAATCCACTGCTGGTTTCTTCCTTTCAAAGGAACACTAAGCTTTTTGACATGAAGCATTCTTTATATAGAAAACATCATTAGTGAATTCCTGGTGAGGAGCCATATGTCCCTACGTGGAATTTTCCATTTTATTCCCCATTTACTGGTAGGAAGTTCAGGTCTAATATTCTGAGGTACAACAATCCCTTTCATTAGCAGAGTAATGGACAGGCGGTTCAGGACTCTATGACGGTAGTTAACATCATACTTCTGTTCAGAAATTTATTTATGCCTCTATTTCCCCACATGCAGAACAGGCAGATAATAAAGTTTAAAAAATAATTAGTTAATCACTAGCCCAAGCTTCTGAGCATGTTTTTCTCTTAAAAGTAAATGATAACACCCACCCCAGTCCTCAATCCACAGGTAACCACTGTTATCAGATGGGTGTGTACGTTCCCAGAATTTGTCTATGCATTCATCTATAGAAATAAATATTATTTTATATGTGTGCTTCTTGTACATAAAATACAATATATTAATGTAGTTCTATAATTTCTTTATATGTGCAGATCTTTTCATTTGTTCAAAAAAATTTTAAATGTTTTCACTGATTATTTGAGAGAGAGAAAGAAAGAGGGGGAGAGATAGAAATATTGATGAGATAGGAACATCAATTGGCTGCCTCCTCACACCCCCTACTGGGGATCAAGCCCACAACCCTGGCATGTGCCCTGACCAGGAATCAAACCAGTTCGTGGGCTGATGAAGCTACACTGGCCAGACTCATCTCATTCTTTTAAACTGATGCATACAATTCCACAATGTAAATATATCCGAAATACCCGAAATTATTTAGCAACTCCTGTACTCACATTTAAGTTGCTTCTAATATTTTGCATTAGACAAACAAATTACGGTTCAATACACACCCTGGTACAGGCCTCCTTGTGCAGTTGTGGAAAAGTCATTTTCTGGCATAGATCATTAAAAGAAAACTGCTATGTCACAGGGAATTAACATTTCAAAATGAACAGATTTTGTTAATTTGCCTTCGACAGTGACAGCCCCACTTTACATTCCCTCAAGCCATGTTTGTACAGTTCTTCCACTGTTCACTTGTCAACATCCTTATTCCTTGTGGTCCCTCTCAGACATCAACTGCTCCCTGAAATGTCACTGGATGTCCGGATGGGTTGTCATCACTCCCTCCTCAGCTTCACCTGAGCATTCTGTCACCTGTTCTTTCGGAACATCACCTTTTGGATTCTCCCTCTTCCTATAGGTCTGGGTACCTGTCCTATACACTTCTACCTGATTGCAAGGTTTAGAGGGCAGTGGGTATTTTAGTCAATGCCAGCTGGGAGCATGGTGCTTATTATACTAGGAACTCCAGAAATACCTAACTTTTGATTTTTGGAGGAATTTCATACCCAAATCTAGAATAATAATAACTTCTACATAACACTAAATTGAAAAGGTTTAAAGAATGCAAAGTGAGCATTAACTTGGAAGGCTTATAGTTGACCCAATCTCGAAGAATGGAAACCCAGAATTTTATTTTCTTTCTTACCTACTGGCTTTACGCCGTCTTCCTTGTTTGTTATAAAAGAGTTCAGAGAGTTTACTTAAAACTGTCACAGGAAAAGGTCTTCTACCAAATCGTGGGTATTTTTAATTACCTTGAGGCGCTGCCTGCAGAGTCTGACCTAGAAAAGGCTCACTTGAAGTGCACCCGGCAGATGTACAAGCTGTAAGAGTGAAGCTGTAGCTGGTATACGGCTGGAGACCTAGAAAGAGCAAACAAGCAATCAAGTTCATCTGGAGAGGATTATTTATTATCAACGAAGCACCAGAAGTGACATGCAGAGTTGCCGATACTGTTTCCAATTTTTTTTTTTAAGAGCAGAAAACACCCTTTAAGGAAGATGGGAGCTTCATAAGCAGTTCAGTATTAATAGAAACTTCATTAATCACTGATGAAATAAGAAATCCTCAGCCTTCGAAGGGATTTATTCATGGAATCCAGCCATCCGCCTTTCTCTTGATTCCCCTGGACCACAGGCCATTGGCGAGGCTGTGCTGCCCAGGTGGCAGGGGCCCTCTTTCTCTCAAGGAGCCCATCCCACACTGAGAGAGCTCCCGAGTTCTTGTTTTGCTTAAAAGTCCTTTCTTGCATTGTGGCAAACTCTTTCGATCACTTCCAGCCCTAGGGACATACAGAACAAATCTAATTTCTTTTCAAAATGACAGTTCTTCAAATATTTGTGGAGAGTTCTCAAATGCCCCGAGTCGCCTCTTCTCTGGGCTAACCATCCCAGCTTCTGCAATTGCTTCTTACATGAATAGGGGCGGAAAAAATTAAAAAAAAAAGAATAGTAGATTCAATGTTCTTTTTAGCCCCAAGCCATATTCAGCAAATATTGACACCAACCAACTCTCCTTTTTTAAGCTTTGTACTTCTTCACCATGAGATAGTTGACCATCTCACCTACTGCTGTAGTTTTTTTGGGGGGAATGTTCATTTTGTCTTTACACATAAACACAATTTGATGAGGGGACAGTGCTTATTACTTTTTTTTGGTATTTAGACCAATACAGCGCAGTAGCAGCTCAATAAGAAGATCCCAGGGAGGAAAAAAATGAGAATCCATTTGCAACACAAGTTCCATGTTGTTAGACTTTACCACTTCCTGGCTGGTGACCTTGGAAAGTCATTTGGCTTTTCTTTAATTTGATCTACTGACCTGTAAAATGGGAAATCTACCTCGTAGCATGTAGCTCCTAAGACTGTTGAGAAGGTGAAATGGGTTACTTCAACAACACTTTATTTTGGCAGAAGCAGCCTTAAGATGCAGGAGCATTCAACAAGAAGTATAGTTAGGCTAATCTTTCCTGTTTTGATTCTTGGAAAAATTCAAATGTTGTCAAAACTTAATTTTTTTAAATAGACTTAGTTTGCACATCAAATAATTGGGCTTAGTTATAACAGGCATCAGATGATCACTACTTTCACATGAACTTTGAACTACATTTTCACATATGTGTCCTTTGCATGGGGTGACTTCCTCCAGAGACATCTATGTGTCACTCTAACTTCACACAAATTTGTTCAAAAATGCTACATCTTTAACGATTTTGACCCTCTACACCCAACACTTTTTATCAAATTACTATCTTCCTTTCTAGCCTTCAACATTAACTGTTATTTTGTTATATGTCTGTTTATTTGGTGCTCTTCAACCCCTCCATAAGCTCTGAAAGAACAAGGACACTGGTTTACCCAGCACTGCACCCTCCGAAGAGTGACCAGCACAATGCAGGCACTCGCTACATGAAAGAAACCACTGAGTAACTGGTTCGCCGAGGATCAGAGCAGTGGTCTGGGTTCTCTGCTAAAGCAAGGACGTGCCGTAGCTGGAGCTGCTCCAGGAATCAGCATCAGCGCCCTTCGCGTTTCCTTATCAGTTTAATGAAAAGATGCAGATACTTGTTTGACTGCAATCTTCCATCTGGTTGTGATGGAGGATTTGGACAATTTTGATATTTAGCTGATTTGCAGACGAGGAATGTGATGAAAGATCCAAGTCGCACCCAAGCCATGATGTTTGATAAAAGCTGATGGGAAAATGCGAACGATGATAAAACACAGAGCTCAAGAAAGAAACGGAAGGAAACATCCAAGAAGGAAGGTCAGAGACTGCAGGGGCAAAAGCTGAGTTTGCCTGATGCTGTCCCCCAGGTACTGCCTTCACTGAAAAAGGGGGGTTTTGACCCTTGTAACACCATTTCATCTGAATAGCTCACTCCTCACTTAGAACGGAAGCAGTTTGAGAGTAGGGATGGTATGTTGAGGTTTTTAAAAATAATTTTTTCCTAACTGTGCCTATTGTAAATGTTCATTGTTTGTGAAATATTGTTTAAAGAAGACAAGCATACAAAAGTGCTCCACAACGACGTTTGGGCTGTGAGGGCATGAGAGTGTAGACTTGCTTATAGGGGCTACAGGCCAATGGGAGAGAAGGGGATATCTGAATATGTAACTCCCCACATTCCATTCTTAGGCCCTGCATTTTTCATATTGCTAGAGGACCGGATGACTAACGGGCTGGGTTCAGATACTCCGTAAGGAAAGTATCCGCTGCCATCAGACAGAGATGATTTCCACGAATTAGACGGTCTTTTATATGGGTGCCTCTGTACAACTCAATAAAATCAACACATTTCAACGGGAATTTGCTGTCATTTTTAGTAAGTCTCTATTGGTATCCCTTAAAATGAGATATGTATGAAGTATCAGCAACAGGCAATGAAAAGGGCACACCGACTGAGAGGTACTCATGAATTGATCGGGATGGGAAGACGGAAATAAAGAGAGATCTCCAAGGAACCCCTCGGACTGTAACTTAATCCTGAAGTCGAAGAGAAGGAGAAAAGAAAACATCACTCAAGCGCTCAGCACTGAATCCAGAGAGTAGGAAACGGCTGTTGAAGAGAAAGGCAAATGCATGGAGAAGAGCCAGGCATTTAACATTTCAGCACAGTGAGGATTACTGTGTCTGCAAATTACACGAATTTCCCCACAGGGAACTATGTGCTTTATTTTTAAAGGAAAGAGGCATAAAATAGCCAAGCTCATTACAAGTACACTTCCAAGTAATGTTACCTTTAAGAGTAAATGTGTGTTAAAAATGGGATACAGACCAATTTGAGAGAAGGTAGTATCTCTCAAATATCACAAAAAAGTCTGCCTGTGGATCATAAAGATATGATTTGGGAAACAAAACCCAGGCCTGTGGAAGTTACGTTTGACATACTCCATAAGGAACAGCTTGTTTCTAATGTTTAATCTCCAGATAAACTGTCAGGAAAAGGCATTTTGTCTGTTATAATTTTGGATAGCCAGCGCTACTTCAAAGCACGCATCCAGGTATGCTGCGGTGACAGCTGTCACATTCTAAAGAATGACCAAATAGCCCCAAAGACTATGAAATGTCACAAGTGCCTCTATCAACTTGGTTACTGATTAATTCACGTGCTGAGAGGCCTGGGTGGCTCCAAAAAGTTTTTGTTGGGTGGTCATCAGTGTTGTACACCTTGTGGATAAATGACCTGCCTTCCCACCTCCTGGTTTATGGGTCAACACTCAACCACTGAGCCACACCAGCCATGCCTATCTTTACATTTTTATTAATTTCTGAGAGGAAGGAAGAAGGAGAGAGAGAGAGAGAGAGAGAGAGAGAGAGAGAGAGAGAGAGAGAGAGAGAGAGAAAGAAACATCAATGATGAGAAAGAACTGGAAACGTTACCTCCTAGTTCATAGATCGATGCTCAACCACTGAGCCACGCCAGCTGGGCTTGAAATGCTTAATAATTTTTAAACAAGGGACCCCTCATTTCGTGATGCCCTGGGCCTTGCATATTATGAGGCCCAAGCTGCCTGAGATTTAGATGTGTTTGATGGTCTCACTTTTATATATAATAAAGATGAAACACAAGCATTCAGATACCAGTTGGCTACTCAACATGTATTCCCTCAACAAAGATTTTGAACACTTCCTGTGTGTTAAGTGGTGTGACAGGTACCCATCCTGGCCAGGTGAGACAAGGGCAGACGGGAAGCTATCGTCTCTCTCCTTCAGCAGCTTTACCTACTCGCTGAGGAGCAGAAACCAGAGAAAAGGATATGGCAATGAAGTCCAACAAACGCGATGGCAGCAGAATGTCGATACTATGGAAGCATACAGACTTATCCACATGTAAAATCCCACTGTACAGACTGTCCCCATTTTGTGATACGGATGGTCAAACTATGTTCTCTTTCCCCCCAAAGCGATGTGCAGGAAATCTGTCTGTCCGGGCAGAGGTCCTCCCCTGCTCTAAGTAGCACTGCACATGCTCTTTCAGCACAGGGAGCTCTCACGAACTTCCCAGAGGATGCGGGCGGAAGGCCTCTCCTTGCTAATTTAGTGCTGGCGTGTCTTCCCCTTTAAGTGAAATGCAACACGGAGCAACTTTTAATGAACTTTTTAAAGAAAACATTTCCCCTGGAGTTAAGAGACACATAAGCCCTTATCCTGTCTGTCGCTAAAGAGGACATGATTAATTCATTTTGTCCTCCGTGGCCCTAATTATTTCGTTAATCCCCTTCCCCTGCATCCACCCCATGCTGACGTGAGGGCCCCGTCTAAAGTGTAGGTAACCCAGAATAGAACAATGCCGATGCCGACATCCCGATCGCTCGGTGCGGGCCGGGCCGGCGGCCGCGTTTGGTAACCGGGGATATGAAGAGGCCGGTTATTGACAAGCTGCCATGTGCTGTTTGCATTAGCGAATATGAGAAGATGATGGCGCTGCTCCCTCGTCCCCACGGAATCCAGCTCAGTGAGATAGCAGAAAACGCGCCCGTTTACTTAGAGCATTGATAACACCTCTAAATAATTAACTGAGGACTTCCTGTCTTCAATTACTTAATGCTTTTTTTAACATCTTGAGAGGATTATAAGCAATTTATGGATCGCACGTGAGGAGTGCATTCGCCGCTATTCCCACAAAGCATTTAAGGGATCATGTTTCCAAAGCTTGGTGGTAATTAAAAATAAGCACGGAGACCATGGGGCTGGGGCATGGCGCTCGCTCCCCTGCTGTTGCTTCGCAGGACCTAGATTTCAGGCTCCGGGATGACTACAGGTACAACTTCATTAGTGTTGCACTGCTACCCGGGGAATGCTGAGGCTTGGGAAATGATGAGAAAATGAAAGCATTCATCCCAGGGGGTCCGGGCAGCTCTTCGTCAAACCTTTGAGATGAACTGTGAAATACGCTTGCTTATTTGAGTTCATTCGTGACCTCAATAAAACAGTCACTCATATAAAACACGTCTGTGTTCAAAGTGGTTGGTCCGCTGTCCCTGGTGCTGAATTTTGCCTGGCAGATCAAATGCATTCGCACTCCATAGATCTCGGGGTTTAGGTCATTTAATGCCTACCTAGCACCATTCCTGTCCCCCAAGGCTACCCCCGGGTGGCTGTGAACTTGGTCAGGTTTTGCTGAATGAGGTTTACTTGCTCTTTCAACAGAGAACTCTCTCTTTAGGGCTGTGTCCCCCAAGTGACGTGTTCTTTGATTCGATCTAAAACAGCACAAATGGACCAAACGGAAGACCTGGTGGATGAAGCTCTCCTAAAGCTTATGTTCCAGCAGGAAGAGACATAAAAAGACAAAACCAACGAAAATATCAGGCAGGGATAAGTCGATGACAAAAATGAAACGCAGGTGATGTGGTGGTGTGTTAGGGAAGCCACAGCTAGACTGGGGACCTCAGAAAAGCCTTCTCTCCTACAGAAGTGACATTCAAGCTCCAACATGTTCATTATTATTATAATCACTACCAGTAATTATCTAACATGATACTGTTATACTGTGCTGTTATTATACTATCAAAGCTAATTATAAACTGTTACAATAAACAATAAAAATAATGCACTTATTAATTGAAGTTAATAATAACAAGTTGTCACAACCAGACAACTGTCAACTCTTCTGTGTATTAATTACCGACTCGGTAGATAAATGTTGGCCTCTTGCTGATTTCCCCTCCTCCCTTGCGCTTTCAAGACTTTCTTGGCTACCTTCGTCCCATTACCTGTGAGTGTATCCTTGGGGAATGAAAATGCATCTTTCTGTTTGTCTGGGGGGAATAAAAAGTGAATTCTGATGCAAAACCTCTACACATAATGCACATCAAAGCCAAACAGAAATCATTTCTGAAGTGATCTGCTGTTGTGGCTTATTGCTGCCAGTGTGGCTCCTTCTATTAGTGTGGGTAAGCGGGGTCTGACCATATGTCAAGAGAACACGTCCTTTTGGAGTGACCTCATCTATCACACACACACACCCCTGGGATGCTCGGCCCCCCCGACCACAAGGACAGACGCTTCCGGTAGGTTTTACCTGTGACCGTATGTTCCCTCCTGTCGGTGGTCTCCGTGTGGATGAGCCCCTTCCCAACCTGCCGGAGCTGGTACTCCGTAATGACGCCATTTGGTTTCTCGGGGGCATCCCAGCTCAAGCGCAGGGCGTCGGCCCTGGGGGCTGTGATCCTCGGTGGCAGGACGCTCTGCGGGACTCCTTGGGTAGTAGTGACAACCACCTGGAACACGGAGTCAAACAGCCATTTATCACAGGTGTCCACTAGGTATTCCCACCCATGAGAGTGTCCCTTTTATTTTAAATATACATATTTTTTTATTGATTTCAGAGAGAAAGGGAGGAGAGAGAGATGAAAGAGCAATGATGAGAGAGAATCATTGATCGGCTGCCTCCTGCACACCCCACACCGGGGATGGAGCCCACAACCCGGGCATGTGCCCTGACCGGGAATTGAACCGTGACCTCCTGGTTCATAGGTCAACACTCAACCACTGAGCCACACTGGCTGGGCTGTTTTAAAATGTTGTCACCTGGCCTGGCACATCATGAGTAGGGGCTTGGAGAAGGGCACCCTCTTTCTTTGATTCCTTCCTTTCTATTCCATCGAAACAATAAAATCCGACCTTGAACACATTCCATAAGTCTCAGGCTACCATTTATCACAACCAGGCTCAACAGCCATTCTGACGGCAGAGAGCAGCCCTCCGTTTAAACAAGTGAGACCTGGCTGGCAGACTGTCAGCCTGGAGAACTCTTGATAACTCTCTCCCATATGGCCCAGGAGTGTCTCTGCATTTTAACAGCCTGATTTTGTACATGTTAAGCACCGGTAAACATGGAGCCAAAAGCCACATCTGAACGCGCTTGCACATGGCATGCTTTGAACAGTACACATGGGCAGACCTTTGTCTTCCGCGCTTCCTGTGATCCCGGGATGACACCACAGTGTCTGCCCCAATGTTCTAGGAAGGGACCAAGTGAGAAGAAAAAGAACAAATCAGCCCGTTGTTGGTGCAACGTTGTCGAAATATGACTTGGGGAGAAAAGGGGCTGCATTTGTGTTTTGTTTTTCACAGAATTCACTGTTTTACCTTTTAACCATTTTTGGGGGGAGGGGGTGGGGCAGTGGTAAACATGAGCTGTGCCTGTGCAGACGGCACGGATTTTGCTTGGAATGCTCAGGCCCTAGTTTTTGATTGGGACGATCAGCTGCCATCTGCCCCAGGGGTGACAGGTTTCGGGGAGGGTCTGTGGATTGTAAAGCTGAAGCCAGTCTGGCTGAATGTTTGACTTGGACAGTTCTCGTGCAGGGTCTGAGGAGGCTGTTCCTCTAAAGGTTGAACGACATGTAAGGAGCAGAGCTGCCGGGTGTGAGTCTGTTTTCTCCTGAGCGTCCTCTGTGATTATGGCTCTTTATTGTCCCCTGGAGGGTTTCTCTCTCCCAGTCCCTGGGTGGGGTTTTCTGCTTTCATTTCACAGCATTCCCCAGTGCTCATCACCTGTGGTCTTCTGCTTGGACCACAGCCAAACACTCCTTGCTTCAATCTCCCTCATACATCTTTCTAGTAAACTCCAGTCATATATATATATTTATTTCAGAGAGGAAGGAGAGGGAGAGAGAGGAGAGAGGAACATCAATGATGAGAGAGTATCATTGATTGGCTGCCTCCTGCATGCCCCCTGCTGGAGATCAAGCCTGCAATCAGGGAATGTGCCGTGACCTCCTGGTTCATTAGTGGATGCTCAACCATTGAGCCATACCACTCCCTTCTTAATCCTGCTTCTTACTCGTTATTTTCGCAACCCTGACCTCCTGGTTCATTAGTCGATGCTCAACCATTGAGCCATCCCACTCCCTTCTTAATGGTTATTTTCGAATGAAGTACCAAATAATATTTTCTCCCACCACTCTGCTGTTGGCTCCTTCTCTTAAATACATATTTAAAAACTAGCCAAATTTTAATCTTAATGTTTAACTTCTCCCTCTTTTGATTTTTTCTTTGCTTGCACGATGGCACTGTGACCCACACACTACTCCAGCCAGATACCTTGAAAGTACCCAGGACTCACTGCTTTTATTCCTCTGCATACAGTTGGCCACTAAGTTCTGTCTGTCTTATCCTCTGGTACCTGCTGGATCTTTCTGATAGTCGCCATTCTGACCCCTGCTGCCTGAGTTCAGGGCTTCATTATTTCTTGGCAAGGTTGTTGCAGAAACCTTACAAACATTTTATTTTCTATGCTAGGCTTCTTTTGCTCTTTTTTCTTTATTTTTTATTTTCCAAGAGCTTTTAAAAATTCTATTTAAATAGAAACCCCTTTAAACTGAATATTGGTTTGGGAATTATCATAGATTTACAGAAGAACATCTAAAAATAGTTAGTGGGCCTGGCCGGCGTGGCTCAGTGGTTGAGTGTTAACCTATGAACCAGGAGGTCATGGTTCGATTCCCAGTTGGGGAACATGCCCGGGTTGTGTGTTCGGTCCCCAGGGTGGGGTGTACAGGAGGCAACCTATCGATGATTCTCTCTCATCATTGATGTTTCTATCTCTCACTCCCTCTCTCCCTTCCTCTCTGAAATCAATAAAAATATATTAAAAATAAATAAAAAGAGTTGGTGGAAGAAAAGTGTGATAAAAAGGCTATATGGATTCAAGTATTCTTATTTATTTATGAAACACTGATATTTGAATAAATCTTTTTTCCAGTGATCTCTAATTTGAGAGGCATAAGTATTAGTACTCAATTGAAATGCCACCTGGACACCCTCAACACGACACTGAGAGAAACACTGTATTCTATCACTGGGCAAATCACTCTTGACCTAGACATTAGATAGTCTTCCCAGGGGATAACTTCGCCCAGAGGTGAGAAAACTCCCCTTACCTCGCCGCTGGGGGCACAGCCCGCAACTGTGCAAGCTTTCAGCTGGTATGAATATTCCTGAAAAGGCTCAATTCCCGTTGTATCAGAGAAGGTCAATGACCTTCCCCGAAAATATTCCACTCCATTTCGGAGAAGAATGTAGTGAATGATATGACCTAAAGGAGACAGAGAAATGCTTGCATTTGAGCATCATAACCTTGTAACCATTTGCAAACAATGTACATGTCTTAGAGTTTGGAACAAATGGGATGCTGTGGCATTATGTATTTAATTTCCATTTGCTATCACATTGCTATGTGCAAAGCGCTCTTAATTATACACACTCTTAGGGAGGAGATGGATTCTTGACATAGCTAATCAGAGTCATTTATGCTTATTTCCCCTCACTAGCAAACAAATTTACTTTCAATATTAAAACTATTTTGCCTTCCCGTAACCTGCTTTATTTGTCAGAGCAACCCAGGTAAAGGCTGGAACTCAAGAAAAAAAAATTGGGGGCTCACAATGGGTGCGGGCTATTTCACAAAAAGAATGACCAGTTGGCACAAACCTCAAGACCACTTGATCAGGAAATACTTTTTAGGGGTTAGATGCATGCCAATTACATGTAGATTACACCCATTTCAATGCGCTCATGGATTTATGGAACTACGGTATTTCCATCTTAAAAGCAGCTTAGTACCATTCGGTTGTATGGGTTTCTTCCAGGTTAGGAGTATTCCATCTTCAGGACGGTCCGTTCTGAACCACTGAGGGGGACTCACTCCCTGAGGCACGTCTTCTTTCGTGCTGGTTCTAACAGCTTCGCTGAATCCTCGTCCGTAGCCATTCCAAGCCGAGATCCTATACTCGTATGTCATATAGGGCTCCAGGTTCACATCTAGAGAGATAGATATTTAACGGTAGAATTTAAAAACAATTTAGTTTGCCATCATACTGCAAATGAATAGCAAAAACTTTAAACATTTTTTAAAAAAGGCTTAATGCTCTAATCCTCTCCCTGGGAATAAAACTCTCATGTCTTGATTCTATGAATCATAAAAAATATCTTCCATGTCTCATGGATGCAGAGATATGGAATGGCACAGAACAGAAATCACCTTTTCTGACCAGAGGAATGTGGGCACATTAAAGAAATGATCGAAAAGCCCTGGACTAATGTCCGTCGGATGTCACTGCTTCGTAAGTTCATGCTCCCTCCACTCCTGCAGGGGGCAGGTTTCATAGTTTCATCATTATAAATGTTACCAAGTCTTCCAGTGTTAATATCACTCAATTAAGTCATTCTATGAATTACAATGCAGCTGTTATGAGATGTGGGACTCGAAACCTAGCATATCATGGTTAGTGAAGAAAAATGATTGTATCCTTCTCTCCTCTCCACCAAACCCAAACCGAGACAGAGCCCAAGCCAGCCCCCTGCTCTAGCTCCACGTCTACACCAGGTTAATTTTCAGTCCATCCACGTGGGCTTTTGACCACATTCTTCTTACATCTTCAACAATTAACCCTGCCCGCCTACCTTCTAGAATGAGCACGAAAATGAAATACAATGAAATCATATGGGGGAACTTCATAAAAGGTCAGTTCCCATCAAACATAAGGGATTATCTTCCGTCCCCATTTCGTCTGGTAAGATGGTGTCCGCCCCTAGTTACCCGTGATGACCACCGGAGGGTCTGAAGATTTCCCTTCCATTCTGGTCAGAGACCACATTTCCCAGTGTTCTTTGCAGCTTGGTGCAGTCACATGACTGAGATCTCAACAAGGGAAGGGCATGGAAGTGATATGAGCTCCTTGTGCATCGCTTTCTAAAGAGGAAATCACTGCCTTCCATGGCTGTTCTTGTCCCGCTTATGGGTTAAAACTAGGAAATGGTATCTCAGGGTGTAACGTGTGGACAAGGGCAGCACCCCAAGCACCATGAGCCACGAAATGGAAGGAATCTGGATCCCTGACTAACGATGGGCGGAGATGCCCACCCCATCCACTTACTCACAGATGGTCACTGTGCTTCTGAATCTCTTTGCTACAGCAGATGAAACTATCTCTTGATATCGCTGTTTTTTCCCACCCTTCAAGCCCACATCACTATTTCTAATTTCAGTTCCTTATTTTTTCTTCTACTACATTTCCTTCTTCTCTTTTTTTACCTTTTCATCTCTTGCCCTTATTACTTTATTTTCCTGTGAGGTTCAGTCTTTTAGAGATGCTTCCAGCCCATAAAAGCATTCTTTATTACTTTACACAAGAGGGATCATTTGTTGAGATGTTGCTTTTCCTCAGTAATCTCTTTCTCAGAGCTCTTTTTCCCTTTGTAAGAATTTCCACTTTTTTTTTTAAACTTTGTATCTCAAGATTGTTTTGTATGTTATGTGGGGTCAGTCTTCTAATAACAGAGGGTTTTGTTTGGGGGGATATAGATGTTCAATATTTACTCATTAATTGCTTAACTGCCCCAGACATGTTTGTCTTCAATCACTTCAAGCTAACACGGTAATCCTTCAAAAATGCGTATCATAGCGTGTCATTTAACATCTACACCTTGCTGCATAAAGGTGAACTGCTTATTTATTTCTTTGTTCCTTATTCTCTACAGGTTTACTTTAAAATAGCCTGCATCCTTGTTTAAAGTTAGACTTTAAAATTTTTAAACTGCTAACTTTGAACAAATCCAGATTGTGCCTTTAAGGACCATGTGACTCACTAGCCCATAGGGTAACGGGATGAACTGCCCTTAGATTGAGGAGGAAGATGATGTCAGAGTGAAATCAACCTGCATGTCAGCAGCTTCTCACGACCCCTTGGGTGCTGTGGGCAGTGCATCCTCTGTTACCTGTAAAGGAGAACGTGTCTGTGCTTCCCGTGTGCACCAGCTCTTCCGCAGAGGAGCACGCTTCTGCCACAGGTGTCCTCTCTGTGGAGCTGCGAGACCCTATGACCACTGTGCAAACGTGGCTGGTGAAGTTGAAGTCACACCGGCCGCAATGTGCAGTGGCTGCCGCAGACGCTGGGCAGACAGTGCCGCACGCTTCGGGGGTGTCCTGGGCCAGGCGGTGGGGGTGGGGGAGAGGGGAGAGGACTTTACTATTTCATTTAGGCAGACATAGGGTTAAGTTCTACAAGTTTAATGACATTTTCTTTCATCGAGTTCATGAATGAATCTCTCAAAATGAGTAAAAAAGAGAAGTGAAGGCCGTTTATGTGCCAGAAAGAGCATTTGTGTTGAAGTGATACAGACTTGGATTCAAGATCCAGTTGGACAAGTCCCTAGCTCTGTGACCTTAAGAAAGTGACCTAGACTTTCCAAGCCTCAGCTTGTTCAGCGAGAAAATGGAAATTAAATGTAGCAGTTTTGTTGTGTGACTCAAAGGGCACCTAGGAATGCCTTACACTCAGTAGATCCACTATCATTCATAACAGTCGTCGGTATTTTATTATTGTTACTTTGACACTTTCCTAGTGGAGTTTTTGAGAAAATAAGAAATGTGATATTTAAGGATCTGCGCCTCCTATGCTGTTGGGAAAGTATGATCTGTAAGAAGTATCTCATCCAAGTGAAAATCTATGTAGTTCATGAACTGCCATTATACTTACTTACTAGAGCCCTGGTGCATGAAATTCGTGCACTGCGCCCGGCCTGCGGCCTCTAGCAATCTGGGAGCCCTTAGGGGATGTCCAACTGACAGCTTATATAGTTGGACATCCTTAGCACTGCCGTGGAGGTGGGAGAGGCTCCCGCTACCACTGATGTGCTCAACAGCTGTGAACCCGGCTTCTGGCTGAGTGGCGCTCCCCTTGTGGGCACACACTGACCACCAGGGGGCAGCTCCTGCATTGAGCGTCTGTCCCCTGGTGGTCAGTGTGCGTCATTGCGACTGGTCTTTTCCTGTTTGGTCGATTTGCCTATTAGCCTTTTATTATATAGGATACTTGTAAGTCTTGTCTCTGATGAATCGCTAGATTTTGTAATATATTTTGATAAATACTAATATGTTTTAATCTCAGAAAAAAATATTTCATCATTCCCAATTTTATAGGGATGTAACAAGTCAATACAGGGTAGGGCAAAAGTAGGTTTACAGTTGTTTGTAACTAAGTGAATTTGCTGGATCTGAGGTCTCTATCAAAGAAAAGTGGTGGGTGTGGGTTGAGGGGCTAGAGGGAAGCAGCCAGAATCCTGTGTTTCCCTCCATGGCACCTATGGGCATGAGATGGCACCACACCAGGCCCTGGCCCTTCTGGGCACAGAGGTGTTCTAGTCTTGCCCTGACCGGAAGCTCTGGGTAAGGCTCCTAGAGAACAGCTAGCTCAGCATTATTAATTCCCTTAGAATTCGCTGCAATAACATCAATCACAGCGAGCTCATTGGGTATTAATATGGATGGAATGCGGGAATGAATAATGCACACAGCAGTTTCCACATTCCCATTCTAGAACAATAGCCATGAACAATGTATTTCTCTCTCCGTCCTCCAGCCTGCGCCTCCGAGAGGTGTTCTGCCCGTTACCGTCGTCCTGGTTCCAGTGGGAGCCTTGTCGGAGCAGACATACTCCAGGGGGTCATATCCAACTCCGCTGCAGCAGGCCTGGCTCCCTGGAATAAGCGCCGTCTCGCAGCATCTCACTGGCACCCGGCCGCTCTTCCTAACATGTGCCTGCGAGGCTCCGCTGGAGGCTGAGCAGCATCTGGTCTCTGCCACACTCACGTAATCCTGCCCGCAACAGGCCATGCCTGCAATAGCAGAAGGTTAGAGATGAAGACGAAGTTTAGAAAATGGGAGGAAGCTGAGGGGGCTATGGAGTGTGGGATGAAACCGCCAGACCCTGGCAGTGGCTGAGAGGGTGCGACACTTACGGGGACGTGGCCCTCCCCAGGGGATGTAAACTGTAGTGAAGTGGTCTTTCTCACCAAAAGCACTGGGTGCTCATTAGTAAAGGACACACAGAGCAAGGGTTCCAGAGCACTCATCGGGGCCAACTTCTCCAAGCTCCGCAAAAGAGAGATCGGGTGTCTGCCCCTTTTCTGATGACCAAATGTTCTGGCAGAAGGAAGGGTACCGTGGCACCTCGCTTCTCGAACGTCTCCCATCCCGAACAAGTCACCTCGACAACCCTTTCCTGCTGAGGCCTGTGGGATGGGTCACGTGCCTCCCAGGCGACAAACAAAGGAGAGAAGGCGTGAATCTGAGCCAGTTTACCACTGTGAACGTCGCAGGATACTGTGCTGTGAATATTTTTGTGTTTTGTGTTTTTTTTGCTTTTGTTGCTGCTTATAATTATTGTTAAATTTTCATTCCTTATTATACATTTCCTTTTCCTTTTGTTGTTTTCATGTACATTTCATGCCCTTTATGTTTTTAAAGTGTTTGTTTATAAATCAAACAGTACAATAGACATGTACGGTATAGAAGAAAGGTTAAAACGGAATCATTTGGGAGTCTGGAACAGATTCATTCAACGTACATAATTTCTAATGGGAAATAATGATCTGGTTTGCCAACAGCCTTCCGGAATGAATGAAGTTTGAGAAATGAGGTGCCACTTACTTAAAACGGAGGGACATTGAGGACATCTCTAGAATTCCCAGGGGAGGAGAGGCCACCCTAGTGCTCTGGGGCAAGAGGCCAGACAGAGGGGAGAGGCAGCCACTGCGGAACGGGAGACAGGACATCTCTAGAATTCCCAGGGGAGGAGAGGCCACCCGAGTGCTCTGGGGCAAGCGGCCAGACAGAGGGGAGAGGCAGCCGCTGCTGCAGAACGGGAGACGTGGCAGCGTGAGTCTCCTAAGCTGCTGCCTGGCTCTGTCTAGGGTCCAAGTATTTGTTTCCGGGGACTCCAGCCACAGCAGAACCGTTCTTTCTTCATGACACAGATTTGCACCCACGGAGCATGCTCCCCCATTGGGCGAGCCATTCAGCCAGTTTTTGGAACCATCACTGGACCTGGGTCAGAGGATGGAGGACACGTGTGCCTGCGAGACCAAACGGACTCCTCCCTCCCTCCCACCCAATCCAGTTTCACCAACTCTGTTCACGTCACCTAGATCGAACCATAGAAGAGATACGGCAGAAATGTAGACAAAAATAAAGCCCGAATAAACAAACAGCAGTCTGGAGTCAGATTAAGCTGGAAATAAAGGGGCCCGTACTCCATGTCACAGTGCGATCATATTACAGAGTGACATATATCCATTTGTATAGTAGCACAATGAGGGGATTTCGTTTAATTAGGGTTTTATTATTAGTCCCGACTGGTAACATACCTCAACTTCAAAGTGCCATGGGTTCCTGAAGTGTTTAATCTGACCTTGTACAAACACACGTGCCATGAGAGATACTCCTAATAACAGACCAACGAGTCTTAAGAGGTTTTTTTGTTATTGTTTCTTAGTCGTTGAATCTAGACACTGGCTTGGCATGTGCCTTAAGAAAGATGCTTACCCACGCATAACTTCAAAGAACTCTCCCACTGACCTTCAACTTTAAAAATATCTCCAATTACTTGCATTTGTATTCACAGTTAATGACATCCATTGAGCGTAACTGAGTTTTGACATGTTCTAATGTAACTGCTCAAAGTCGTGGGTTTAAAAGTTAACTGTTTTTCTCTGGGGCTTTGTTAATAATTTTGGTTGTTTTAACATTTCCAGGAAAAGTCCTCTCGAATATATACACACAGCAGGGCTATCATTGCAGTCTGAGTCTTGATTATGATGGATAAAATCACACACACACACACACACACACACCACAACTTCAGTTTTTATATTATTTGGATGTATCTCTGATGCCTTGAGATCAGACATTTAAATGCCACCGTGGATTCTTTACTATTATTTTTTTCTCTGGCAGTTTTCTTAAAATACTTCATGTTTTCATTTTAAAGAGCCATCAAATTCTAAAAACTGGCCCCTCAGGGAGCAGAATAACCTGCCTCCCCTCCCCCCCCTTCCAGATCACTTTACGGTTTCCCCATGCTTTACGTAGAAAATCAAAATGCAGACGCTGACCCAGTTCCAAACTCCTAAGCAGTCAGCGGATCGCTCTGAGGGACTTTTGACAGGCCAACTAAAATCCCGCTAATGAACAGTTTTTACACCAGGAAAAAGAGAGAGAGAGAGAGAGAGAGAGAGAGCGAGCTTTCTTTCACCAAGAGTTTCATGTTAGTTTCCCTGAATTAAAATTTCCAGCCAAGATTTCACCCCCATAACAAGAAGCGACTCCCTTTCTAGTTCCTTCGGTAAACCATTACTTCTTTAATTATTATCAACCTTGTTCCAGGGTGATAAATTGCTAATTACTTAATACCCTAATCAGCGTTCATTCTTTGCACAGATAAACTGTGACAGAGCCATTAATTTAAATAGTAATTTCACTTAATGGCCAGAACGGCACACCAGATTTTTATGCAGCCTTTCCCGAAGCCGGCATCCATCACCGCGCGCTCCTGACATAAAGACGTCTGACGCGCACTAACTCACTTATGGAGAGCAGATGTTCCGGAGCGGGCTCGGGAGAAAGTCCCAGGGTGCATCACGTCAGCATGAATGAGCTCGGGTTCCGAGTGGGACCATCTCCCAGAACTGCACTGCCATCGCTTTTGACCCCCTACCTAACTGATCACAGGTGGCACTTGACTTTTGACCTTTGGCATACAGAATGCACGATTTTGAGTAACCCCAAAGAAAAACAAAACGAGGCCGTGGATCACTGACTGGCTGATCTGTTTGTTTGTTTTTTATTCTAGAGGCTCTTCATTTAATTTGTACAAAGGTGGAGTGTCTCTTTGAGCGAGTTATTAAAATATTAGATGTTTATTTCTGAGATCAAAAAGCATATGTAGCGAATGAGTATCTTTCCAAACTGCATAAATATCCAATGGAGAGCTTCCACTGTACTGGCTACAACTGAGAACACTGGCTCTTGGTATTATAACTACTTCCAATATGTTATCAATTCTTATTCAATGGCAAGGGCTGAAAATGAAAACATGCATAAACAGATAGGCCTGATGAATTTCTAAATTCTTAAATCTGCAAAACAGGTGCTCATTTTTCTAAAAAAAAAAAAAAAAAAGACCAGCATTTATGTATCATGCTTTTGAGGTTAAATCAGTACCGTAGTTTTTAAAAAAATGAGTCTAGAACATGACAAATCATTGTGGAACTCTGGAATTAATCATGAGAACCACCTTTTAGCTGAGGGATACAGCTTAGGCCTAAAGAAATGAAAAAATAAAAAAAAAGTTTGTGATTAGTCCTCAGGACAAACGAAATTGGTGGCAGAGACTGAAAGAAAATAAACGCATGCTTGCCTTCACCAGTAGGTGGCTCTATGGCTACCACCACAACAATGAGAAGAAAGGGGTGGAGTAAAAATGCTCCCCAAATAGTGACAACTTATTTTGTAGCATCTATACAGCACTATACTTTCCAAATATTCATTATGTCATGGAAATCTTCCTGTGAAATATTCTTTATTTTTTTTCTTTTTAATACTCAACCAAGGATATGCTTTGATATTTTAGAGAGAAAGGAAAAGAGAGAAAGAGAGAGAAACAATGATGTGAAAGACAAACATCTACCAGTTGCCTTCCATATGCTCCCTGACCAGGGATCGAACCTGCAGCCTTAGGTATGTGCCCTGACCAGGAACTGAATCCGCAACCCTTTGGTGTAAAGGTTGATGCTCCAATCAACTGAGCCACCCAGGCAGGGGGAAATATTCTTCCAATACACTCTTCCAGGATGGAGTTCTGTGCCGCACATCCCTTTTTAGCAAAGTTCCCAAGATTAGTCCATCTTATGTAACTGATACTGGTGCCATTCATTCTACTCAGGTCTGAGTCTAGGGCATGAAAACTCAGTGTTCTTTCCCCCGACAACAGCCTCAGAGTTTCCCAAGAAAAGCTGCAGGGACATTTATAATAGAAACAAGGCAACAGGATCCAAACGTCTTTCATGATCAGTTTCCCATGACGAACAGAAAAACCTGTCTTGTGGTTTTTTTTAAATGTATTTTTATTGATTTCAGAGAAGAAGGGAGAGGGAGAGAGAGATAGAAACATCAATGATGAGAGAGAATCACTCATCTTCTGCCTCCTGCACGCCCCCCACTGGAGATCAAGCCTGCAGCCCAGGCATGTGCCCTGACCGGGAATCAAACCATGGCCTCCTGGTTCGTAGGTCGATGCTCAACCACTGAGCCACACCAACCGTAGCTCATTTACTCCAATATCAAATATGAAACTCATCTCTAAACCCTCTCCTCCTCTGAATAACAGAAGGGCTTTCATTCTCCTCTTTTAACACGAAAGGATATAATCAAGTTCAACCCAAGATTAATGGCAGAAATGATAAAATCGTAGAAGCAAACACTAAGAATAAAGAGAGTCATAAAGAGGCTTAAAATACGGTCAAGGAAAATGGTTAAGAATACATATCTGCCGAAATGACAGGCACGGCTTCCATCCCAAGACGCCTGCCTGAGACTCCTACGCCGCCCGCCCGCCCGGAGAGAGCACTAAAAGCATAAACGCTGCCCCAGCACTTCTGTTCCGACAGCATCTGTTAATTCTCTCCATTTATAAAATACATATTGACAAAGACAACTGAACTGGGACCGGGGAGATTTGATTTGGTGTGAGAAAGTCAATTCAATGTGATTTTGTTAAAGGGCTCCTGCAGGCGAATAAAAGAGTTTAAGTAATAAAGTACATAAAGAGACGTTTTACGAGCCAGCCCGGTCTCGTGGCAGGCACACAAGGCCGGGCAGGGAGAGGGGCCGGGCCTGGGAACGAAATCGTGAAATCCAGAGCCTAGTGCGGCAGGTATGGGGCTGCTACGTGGAGGGGAAATAAAGAGAGAGCCATATGGATGCCCTGGAAAGTCATTAAGGCCACAGTCATCAGGGGCGACAGGAGGAGAGGCAGCAGAGAGTGCGAAAACGACAGGGGAAACGTGTCTATTTCCAGTGGAACCTGCAGGAAGGTCAAGAGAAGAGGGAGTTTTTTTTCCTCTTTAAAAATATCATCCCTTCGGTCTACCGTGATGGCCACAAATGAAGACGATCATGAGGAACTGCAGCGCTCACCTGGATCCACAGGCGGAGGGGAAGGTCACAATTTGCTTACAAAATATCTGACTAGCACAGTGTCACAGGGAAGCAAGCGGAGAAGTGATTCTGAAATTTGGGCTCATGAATGGGCTTAAAGGGCACTTGAAATTGCAGGTACATTTTGTGGGCTCCATCCCCAGCGGGGGCTGTGCAGGAGGCAGCTGATTAACGATTCTCTCTCATCATGGATGTTTCTCTCTCTCGCTCCCTCTCCCTTCCTCTCTGAAATCAATGAAATATATATTTTTAAAGAAAAGAAAAGAAAAGAAAAGAAAAGAAAAGAAAAGAAAAGAAAAGAAAAGAAAAGAAAAAAAGTGCTTCTGCTTCCTCACCTGTAACATGGAGATAATAACGGTACCTACCTCCTTGGCTTGCTGTGAGGATTAAAGATGCTCATGTATATGAAGCTCACAGAACCCAGCTCGGGGAATAACGAACATGGGATGTGGTTTGCTTGTGGCTGTATTTTGTCTCTCACTGTATCTGCTTCTCATTTGCTCCATTACTGAAAGGCAGGCGAGGCCCCTCACCTGGAAGGCGGCTGTATGCCACGCCCCCGTCTGCTCCCCCGCAGCACTGGGCCTCTCTGCTGACCAGCTGTCCCCCGCAGCACTGCTGGCCTTGGCCGTCCCGCAGCCTCCCCGCGCAGCACACCTGGGCGCCCGCCGTGGAGTAGGGCATCCGGCCGCAGCAGGCGTCACCCAGGCCCACGGCGACCCGGTGGTGCTGGGCATCTGGACAGCACACCTCACCTGCCAGTGGAGGGCAAGAACCAGCATCGCGTGAGATAAGAACATCTGCTCTGACACAATGAAACTGTAGCGCAGTCATCCTGCAGACGCCGACTGGCTGAGAGAATTGCTAGAAAGAACACCGACGTTTTGGAGTTGCAACTTCTCAATGCAACTCCAACATGCTTGCATTAAAGACATAGAAATACCTGTGTCTGCTCACCCCACGCATGTCAGCTTAGAGGTTATCTAGTTCCTCTGACCCCTCATAAATGAGCACTTCAGACTTGGTGATGTGGATTCAGGGACAGCACAGAAAAAGTTTGTCTACAAATACTTTCCTGTGTAGTGTAATTTTTTGGAATGTGGGTAGAGTCAGAAATTAACTCTCGATACATTTGTAACAGCTATGATTGTAATTCCACACTGTATTTATTTAACCATACAAAAACCTTCCAATGGGAAGGTTGATCAAATGAGAGGAGGTAAAAATACTATATTTAAACCAGCACAGTAGTATTTTGGGAGTAGTGGCAGACACGGAATTTCACTACTGTAGTTATACCCACATTCCCCTTTACATGATGTTCTGGGAGACTTGAGGTAAAAACCATCTTTTTCCTGGTATCTTGAAATCAAAGAGTTCAAAATACATTACTTTTCCCTAAGGATACCTTAGAGAGGACTAAGAGCAACTTGGTGGATCTAAAATTCACACCTGGCCTTTCATTTCTATCTCATGACCCCATGACCCCACTCTGGCAGAAACGATAAAATTATAGAGGACCTCCCTCCAGCCCCCTGAACCCTGATTTCCTCCCCTCCTTTGTCTTATTCCTTTCCTCCTTCCTGTATCTCTAACAGGCCCTCTCCCCTCTCCTCCACTGCCCCTTCTCAAACACACCTTTCTCCTTGGACAGTATTCCTTCCTATTTTATAAGGGATGTGAGTCTGATGACCAACCTGGCAGGTCTTATTAAACCATGGTCCAGCCAAGACTTACACAATCTGGCTAATGACTTGCCAAACCTTTTTAAGTTGGGGTTGCTTTAGAAATCTATAGACCTGAACTCCCTGATATGTATCAATTAGTTCATCTTTTTGTGAGGTCAAGAAATGCTAAGACTTGGTTAGTAACAGCAAGGCAAATCACCGACTAAAAGGATATAAAAATGTGGGACACTCTTTCACTCTGGATAGATATATAGAGTCTAACAGGAGGGCGAGGACTCTACCCTATCCCATCCTCCCCTGGGGTTCTCTGGAAATGCTTATTCCAGGGGTACCCCAAGAACCCCACTCGCACTCGCAATGGAAACCCACGCATTTCTCCGATAACATTACTAGAGGCCAGTGAAGAAGAAATGGAGAGTACAGTCACTGTATCTCATATTCCTCTGCATAAAAGGATTCTTCACTTTGGTCTGAAATATAGTTGCCGTATTTCTTAGATCCTACAGTTCAGGAACAGAGGGCCCCTTGTTGGCGTACTTCCTTTAACACAATGTGTCACGTGGTGCAGGGGCAGCACCACTTAATTAAACAGCACTTAGGAGAAGGGTGGGCTCGGAGGAAACATAGCAGACATGTCTATATTGGGGAAAACCAACAATTTTTAAAAAAAACACTTTTGAGTAGAACAAATAATTGGTTTGGATATTTTAGCCATATTTCCCCGAATCCCTCAGAATCTCATTGAGTTACTGACAGAAGAATAAAAGATGTGGATTACATCAATGAGAAGTAAAACTGATTTTTTCCTCTCAGAAAAGGCCTATTAGACCTAAGATTCAAAGATCAGTCACCTTCTCATTAACCTCTCAAAAACGAATCTATTCTACCACTGGCTTGAAAATGCTTTCTCTCTAAAAGCTACCCCGTGGTCTCAACTGTTAATTGTTAGTCTTATCAAAGAATGACCCGCATTAACATTTAGCTTGAGGTCATTAGCATATTTATAAAAAAGAGGGGGGAGTCATGAGCATTCTTTTCTCTGTTGCTCTTTGTTGTGGGTGCTATGAAGGAAAGTTGTGAGAAAAAATAAACTAAGTATTATTAACCAATACTTCAGACTCCTCTATAAATATCAAACTCATCTATACGTATCGGAATGCATATACCCATCTCAGCCTTGAACAGGCAGACAACTGATTAAGTTTTAATTGCATTTCCACACAAGATAGGTAGGGGGTTAGTGTTCTTTCTCTCTTGATGTAAACAGTGTTAAACTAGATAACGAAGACCAGTGGCTGAGCATAGAGGTCACAATATAATCTCTTCATTCAGTTACACTGAGATTCATGACTGGAGCAAAACACTCTGATGTTCCCATAGGATTGTATGTATTTTTTCTCTTGACATCATGGTATAGACATTCTAATACTATGAAAAAGGGACAATTTAAAAGGATGTGGGCCTTGTTCAACATCTGGTAGATGCCCAGATGCTTGAGGTCTGAGTGAGCCTGTGTCAAGATCTAGATCATGGAGGTTTTAAAAGATCTTGTTTTAAAAATTAAAAAGTTTCGTATAATATTAATAATCTTTGGGCTTCCAGGATTTATTCCATTCTTAGGAAAAAATATGTCAAATTTTATTTGGAAACAGAACAAACCTAGACTATTGTCTTAGCTCGAAATCTACCTCTTTGTGTTAGAAATGAGAAGTCTCCTCCATGTGCGTAGCTGTGGTAGATGCAGCCAAGCATTTTTTCATCAATTTTAAGGGATAGAGGATATTTTTCAGAGTTTGAACAGTTAATAGCAAATAAAAGCATACATTTTAATGCTACTTAGAAATGAAAACACTACCATGTAGTTTTATGCTACACTTAGACCAAAGCCTACTATGGTCTTTTAGTTTGAAGACTGGGACAACAGAACATTTCTCTCTCAACTATGTAATTACAATTTTAAGGACAGGTTTTTTTCAGGGGAGGGGAGATAGGAACTATAGTTGAAAACTCCTTCAGTGTAATGTACCCCAAAGCCTTTGGCAGTGTTGGACTAGTTGCTCATACTGTGGTTTGCAGTATACCGAAGCTGACACTGAAATCTACACAATTCTATCCCCATCACATCCTGTTTTCTTACTTGGAAAATCTAGTTAAGTTATTTAATTATGAAAGTACTTTTTTTTGTGAGAATCAGAATAACAGTCCTGCTTCAAAGACAGGTTTTTCTATAAACTTTAAGGGACAGTTATGAAGAATAGAGGACCTCAACCTTAAATTAACTTACATCGTATTTGATGATTTCACCTTCCCTTTTTGCTCCAGTGTTTCACAAAGAGATACTAGGTGAGATAATGTTTCATTTTACACAACTTAGATCAGTGATGGCGAACCTTTTGAGCTCGGCGTGTCAGCATTTTGAAAAACCCTAACTTAACTCTGGTGCCGTGTCACATATAGAAAATTTTTGATATTTGCAACCATAGTAAAACAAAGATCTATATTTTTGATATTTATTTTATATGTTTAAATGCCATTTAACAAAGAAAAATCAACCAAAAAAATGAGTTCGCGTGTTACCTCTGACACGCGTGTCATAGGTTCGCCATCACTGCCTTAGATGGATATATGTCCACCAAACACAAGGGACCCTGAACAACATCTAATGAACTAGATAACTGGCATACATTTTATGTTAAACTAAATGTCTCAGGGCACTCAGCATTAATTGGGCATCCAAACACGTACCTTTCTTTTCTTTCTCCCATATCTATTTCTGGGCTTTTAAAGAAGACACAAGCATTAAAGTTAGGTGGTAGGGAAACAAAAAGTTTTTCTCAATGGCTTTTCCAGGATAAAAAAGGAACCGACAATAGCAGTAATAAGATTTTTAGATATACTGGAACAGTCATTTAAAAAGCTATGTTGCCCAGCCAGCATGGCTCAGTGAACCAGGTTGAGCATCGACCTATGAACCAGGAGGTCATGGTTCGACTCCAGGTCAGGGCACATGCCCAGCTTGCGGGCTCCATCCTCAGAAGGGGTTATGCAGGAGGCAGCTGGTCAATGATTCCCTCTCATCATTCATGTTTCTCTCTCTCTCTCTTCCTTTCTGAAATCAACAAAAATATATTTAAAAAAAGAAAAGATGTTTCAAGCCGGCCATTGGCTATGTGTGAGTGATTGCATTTCCTGGGGGGAGGTGTTTGCTTTTTCTGGTTCCCAGGATGGACAGGTATCCCTGAGACAACCCTCACCTGGCAGAACTCTAACGTAATACCCTGCGCAGCAGTGGTGGTCTGGCTGTGCCTGTTGGATGCGGCCGCCACAACACACTCCCGTTGAATTCAGAACCAAAGGGATATACTTCTCCTCACAGCAGTGGTGTCCGGGCTGGGCCTCATGGAGCACGCCAGCACAGCAAACCTGAAGGTTGGGAGCCGGATTTAAAGGAATATCAGTTAATTAAGACTATTTTACCACCATATCTCCTGCGACATAATCATTTTCTAACAGACAGTGCTAGGAGACCAAATACAGCATATGTTTGATAAAAATTCAAACACTGAAACACACATTTCCCCAGCATCATTCGGGTCCTAAATGCTAGTTGATATAATATAACTTCTTAGCCTTCAACCATACTTTGTGCTCTATTAGAACATTCCATAAACATGAATGACATTTTGAATGTCAGTGCTTCCAATGGAAAGATGATTTAGAATTATAAATGAACAATTTCCTTCATGTATATGCTTTTATTTTAATGGTTGTTTATTTTAATTCCACATCTATGGAAACCTCTCATTGATCTTTTTCTTTTGTTAAAAAATAAATGACATTTTTCTTATAATGCTTATGACCACATGTTTATTAACCCAAACTTCAGATAAGGGGATCTTAAAAGAGTTCAACATTTACATTTATAGTATATGCACACACACACACACACACACACACACACACACACACACACACACACACACACACACACACACACACACACACACACACACACACACACACACACACACACACACACACACACATATATATATATATGTGTGTGTGTGTATATATATATGTGTCACATTAAAAAGAGAACATTTCTATGGAAATTAATTTCGACAAGCCCTTTAACCATGTGTGTTTTCTCCAGGAGCTGTGGAAGGAATTATGTGCTTGAACAATCAAATAATTATTTGCATGCACTGGAGGTCTGAGAAACGGATACTCTATATAGAACAGATGAAACCCTGAGCTGTTGCTAAAGTGTTGCCTCAGAATCTATACTTGGCACGTGATGTGAACTAGATAGAGCCTTCCTGTGACAGCCAAATCCACCACTATTTACAACGTGTTTCCTTCCCTTTTGCTCACTGCTTCTTGTAAGCTTGCGCCAACCTTTGACTCAAGCTCCATACAGGAGCAGAAGAAGGTGGGATCCCCCAGTCTTCCAAAGGGCCACTAGCTTAGTACTTCATTCATTTTGGAAAAGTTCCGAAAGAGCAAATAAATTTAAAGTCTTAAATTCAGCCTATCCCTGTGGTGGTTCAGGTAGCTCTGAGAATCCAACTGCACAATTAGTAGCCTGAAATGATGTAAAACTTAGTCATAGTGACAATTTTGGAGACTGAGCATAAAAAAGGTTAGTTTGTAACAGCTGGTTTTATAACCTTTCTTAGATGATGACTACTACCTAGCCAGTGTCAGCTTAGTAATTTGTGTTTTACCCATACTGCTGCAAAAACTCACGTTCTTAATTATTGCACCCTTTTGCAGTGAATCTTTTGGATGTAGTAGTTACTTCTGTCATTAAAGGGGCGATGCTGCTGATAAATAGGAACGCTCTTTCATTCTACCTTCAAACTGAGAATTTTCTGCATCGTTTGTCAATAAAGGCCATTTACAAACTCCTCCGTCTGGCTGTGCTATTGATCTGATTCCTAAACTGCAACTAACAGGAACATTAATCTGCAAATGGCCATAATTTTAAAATATTTCTGACAAACCTTGAAAGGCCCTGCTCACAGTGACTCATCAGTGTCATGTAAACAAACACCCACTTGTCGCTGAATGGATTTGTTGTACAAAAAAAAAAATTCAAGTCACTCCATCAAATACACATTCAGGAGGATCCTTACTATTTCAATAAACTAATATTTCCTGGGGAGACGATGAAAAATGAGAAGGCTACAATGCTCGTGAGGATGGCAGGGTTTTGATAAGCATCCTTTCTTTGCCGTGGGGTCTCTTGATAGACTGGGGGAAATACCGATCATGACAAATCATGGCTTAAGAAGCAAGTGATTTCACCTGGAGTGTTCGGTGGGAAAAAGAGATTACAGGGACGGGCTTGAAGAGGTTTACCTTAGCCTCAGGATCATAGCACCTGTGTCCACAGGTAGTTTCAGGCTTTTGACACATCACTGCCTTGCAGAGCTCACTGCTGTGAGCTTTCGGGGTCTCAGGGCACGGGGTCCATGATTTGCGTAAGACATCATATCCCAGAATGATGCCATTTGGCTTCCCTGGGGACGTCCAATCAATTTGAAGGGATCTGTAACAGAGAGAATAATTAATATTTCCGCAAAGACAACATTTACCATTGCTGCTGTCAACCTCATGTACTTTTCAATTTATCTTCCAGGTTGTTCTAAATGTTTACATCTGTTAACTTCCTAATCAAAAAGCTGCAGTAAGAGAGTATGTATATGTTAACATATATACTCATATATGCTACTACCATATCACATTTTTGGAGAATCAATAAAAACTTTATTTTAATATATTTTTATTGACTTCAGAGAGGAAGGGAAAGGGAGAGAGAGATACAAACATCAATGATGAGAGAGAGTCATTGATTGACTGCCTCTTGCACGTCCCCCACTGGGGATCAAGCCCCCAACCTGGCATGTACCCTGACCAGGAATCTAATCTGTGACCTTCTGGTAACAAAATTTTTTTGTTCTTATTGTTTTCTTAAAGGGTGGAATGCTGACATTCAAAATTAACCCTATTTGTGCAGTTGTAGAATTTCCAATCATAACAATTTACTAATTCCATTGATGTTTCTATCTCTCTGTTCCTCTCTGAAATCAATAAAAAATATTTTTTTAAAAAAGAGCATATGAGTTTATTAGTCCGTATCTTTAAAGATCTTACACTAAAAATCTCATGAATAACTGTTAGCCACTTTTCTGTCATTGTGTAAAATAAATATTTTTGTCATATTTTTCACTTTAAGGAGAAATATATCATTACAGACCAAATTACTGGACCCTATCAGGAATTCAATTAAGCCCAAACATTTACATTAAAAAGCAGCAATCATGATAAACCTTGACATCTTAATAGACTGCTTTTAAAGAAAAGAAAGTTGTTATTTCATTTTTGAGGGCACAAACATAACACATTCACTAATGTCACGTGTAAGAGCACAGTTTCATAGGAGACTTGTATAGCCACCATTCTTATTCTGTGGTCTTTGTCCAACTCCCAGAATTCATTTCCCATTTTGAAGATACCTCTTTTGTATTCACTGCATAATCAACGACAGAAAAGACTATGTGTAAGTGACATTCCAGGGTCTGACTTATCCACAAAAGCCAGTGAATCAGTGAAGTCCAGAAAACACGTGTAGAACACCATGCCATCGTACTTGTCTTCCTTGTACGGCGTAACTGAAATGAGACCACCTCTATTTTTAGCAGTGCCATGAACAGTTCTGCTTTTGAGAATCTGAGTCAGGTACAGGTAGATAAATGATTGAGGAGTCATGGGTTCAACCCCTCCACGTTTCTCATTACAAGCAATGAGGGTGATATTGAGAGATCTTTTTGGGTGACAATTTGAAATGGAGGAAGGACATCTCTGAGATTCTGTTGAGGACACCCCCCATTAAAGAGTGGATTTGGAATGGAACCAATGGAAGGAACCAATGCGTGTTCAGAGAGCCGGGGATCGAAGTTAATTAGAAGGGAGAACTGGATTTTGCTGAGAGTTGCACAAAGGCGACCTCAGTCATTGAGCTTCTTCTATAGGAGCCACAGAAGGCAGAGAAATCAGGAGTTTGGGAGAGAGAGGCAGGTGAAGAAAAGGAATTCGTGGTGCAAGAGACCCAAGAATGAGCTCAATACTCTGTTACATCTCCTCACCAAGCAATGAGTTTGACCATCAGAACTCATTGGCCATCACAACAATAAAATTTCCTCAAAGCAATTATGACTACTGATTTCATCTGTACAATAATACAAAACACCCTCCACGTTGTCTCTCTCAAGAGTTCTTCCCACACCCTTTCAAGAACTGAGCATAAAATTCCAGTCCAAATTAAAAGCCATTTGCCATTGTCCACATTGCTGAGAGAGGATATTGACAATATGGGTAAAGGAGGAGTGATTGGACATTCTACACCTACAGACCAATATTCTGCTTATTAAGAAAAGAAAAAGAAAGAAGAGAAGAGGTGGATTAATTTTTTTAACTGTAAAATTTTAAATTCAGCATTCAAGTTGTCAGTCCCTAAAAAAATCAGGGAGGAAAATTAAGGATACGGGAGATTCCTTGATATCCAATGTCATGAAAATATAGAGGTTTCAAAGTTGCACCTCAAATTTGGTGAGGCAAAAAGGGGAAGAATCTTCTTCCACAAGCTATGACTCTCGTGCCTTATTCAACCCCACACTAAGTACCTGGGACATACAGGGGGAATTTGTAAACTAGGACAGGTGTTCAACCTTCATTTGGAGGCACCCAGGCTGAGCTGCTACCATAAAGACTCCTGCAAAGTTGGTGTGTAAAACTATCATTTATATCATTCAGTAGCTCGAGGCAAATTTTTAAACAATTATTTGTGAATGCTACAAAGACATTACACCCCAGACTTCTCATCAATAATACAGCCCCAAACTGATGTGGAACTGGGGGAAACACTGCCACGGTTCCAATTAGAGGCAGCCAGAGACGCGACCTGCCTTCTCTCTCCTCTCCCTTGAGCCTCATGCCGGGAAATCATGCATTTTGAAACACGAGCAGTAATGTAGTAAAATCTCTTCCTTGTTTCTGCTTTTCCTTATCGGATGCATTGGTGGAGCATAAATAAGTAAACGTCAGAGGCAGCCCGGTGCCCAGGGTAGCTGTCGGCTACAGCGCTTGTCATATTTCAATCAAAGCTAGAGCTGGTCAGCTCTCTTCATCCAAAGCAGTGTCTATCCTCACCGCTTTGGACCAGAATTAATGAATCAGCTATTGATTAAATTCCACTCTAACCAACCCACCAAGGCAAATAAATGAACTACCCAGGGCACTTGTAGGCCATGGCCAGACATGTCCGGGCTATCGATCAGTAGTTAGTATTCTTTGGGGATCCAGAAGCTGCTGATGACAATATGACAAGTATGGAAAATGTGACACAGACACAGTGTGTTTCTGGAGGAGGAGGCTAGAGAATGAGTAGGGTTCATCTGATCTTTATGTGTGAGCGAAGGCATCTTTGGTTTACATGTAAGAGGAAAACACGTGTGAGTGCTTGAACTGAAGAAGTTGTTGTCAAAAGCCAGGTGTGAAAGGCCAAAGGCAAAGATCACACACCCCGGATGTGCAATCTGACAGGCTGACGTGCTATTAAAATCTCACTGAGCGGTTTTCCTATCAACAGTGTAGAGTGAAGGAATATTTCGACATGAACTCCGTTATCTCTTGACTGTGGTAGTATTTACACAACTCTACCCATTTGTCAAAACTCATAGAAGTTGGAGCAAAAAAAGAGTACATCTTACTCTGTGTAAATTAAAAATAGATTGTAAAGTGCAAGAGAATAATAAAAAAATAAGTAAGCAAATGCAGAAAACCCGGGATCCTTCCAGATGCTGCATTCATTGTTGACACTAGGGGGTTCTCCTCACATCCTTGTCAGTTTTTAACTTTTTCTCTTCACTAAGTCTCAAACTGCTTTTATTCTAAGCCCAAACGTAAGTGACATTTGATTGAGTATGGAATGAGAAGATGAAATATCCGTTTCTTTTTAATTCAGAATTTGGAGGCATTGCATTTTGGCCACGAATGCTACTGTTTATGCAAGAGAATAATAAAAAAATAAGTAAGCAAATGCAGAAAACCCGGGATCCTTCCAGATGCTGCATTCATTGTTGACACTAGGGGGTTCTCCTCGCATCCTTGTCAGTTTTTAACTTTTTCTCTTCACAAAGTCTCAAACTGCTTTTATTCTAAGCCCAAATGTAAGTGACATTCGATCGAGTATGGAATGAGAAGATGAAATATATCGGTTTCTTTTTAGTTCAGAATTTGGAGGCATTACATTTTGGCCAGGAATGCTGCTGTTTAAAAGATGGACAATGCTGTTCAAACTCCAATGCTCCGTGTTATCTTGCAGGAAACTCTGGATCTGGAAATTTCCTGACAATGTCCCTTTATGGGGCTCTTTTAAAAAATACATATTTAATTGTTGTTTTTTTTTTTTACAGAGAATAAGGGAAAGGGAGAGTTAGAAACATTGATGAGAGAGAAAAATCCATCAGCTGCCTCCTGCATATCCGCTACTGGGGATGTGCCCACAACCAAGGTACATGCCCTTGACCGGAATTGAACCTGGGACCCTTCAGTCCGAAGGCCGACGCTCCATCCACTGAGCCAAACCAGTTAGGGTGGGGCTCTTTTTTATGTGGCTCTTTTTTCAGCGGTTATCCTGGTATCTACAGACTCTTCATCTGCACGCTGGTGTGTTTAGTTCTGGGATATTTTCTTATCATTTAACTTTCCCCCCTCTTTCCTGCTCTCTCTTCTGGAATTCTTATTATCCACATACTAGATATCCTGGAGATTTTTTCCCCCCAATTTCCTCAATAATTACTTTCTTTTTCTTGACATCTTTGCTTTTTATTGCACTTTTAGAGACTTTCCTGTTTCTTCCAAAGATTTAATTCAGCTGTTACATTTTTAATTTTCATGAGGTCCTCTCCCCAATTTTCTCTTTATTTTTTTTATCCAAATAAATTTTGTTTGTTCCATAGATAGAGAATCTTTTTCATCTTTGCTTTTTATTGCACTTTTAGAGACTTTCCTGTTTCTTCAAAAAATTTAATTCAGCTGTTACATTTTTAATTTTCATGAGGTCCTCTCCCCAATTTTCTATTTATTTATTTATTTATTTTTAAGTATATTTTATTGATTTTTTTTTATAGAGAGGAAGGGAAAGGGATAGAGAGCCAGAAACATCGATGTTGAGAGAGAAACATCGATCAGCTGCCCCCCGCACACTCCCCACTGGGGATGTGCCCGCAACCAAGGCACATGCCCCTGACCTGAATCAAACCCGGAACCCCTCAGTTCGCAGGCCGATGCTCCATCCATTGAGCCAAACCGGTTAGGGCTCTCTTTATTTTTTTTTATCCAAATAAATTTTGTTTGTTCCATAGATAGAGAATCTTTTTTTTTTCACTTTGAGGCTAATATAATTTTTTCTTACTTAGCATTACCTCTGCATCTATTGAATTATTTCTCTGCTTTTATTTTTGGTTCTTTTAATCTTTGAGAGCTATGTTCCAAAAAAGCTGACCCAAAGCTTTATGTATGAGTGGGGTTTGCTGATAGATATACTTCCCTATGAATGTCTCTTCCATTAGGGGATCCCACCTGCAAAGTTCTGGAAATATTTCATTTGGGGCCATGCAAGCTTTTCTAGAGAAGAATGTCCAATTTCCTGTCAGGGCATTTATGACTGGATACTTGTTTTTAAGGACAGAGCTGGGGAAGGCAGCCATAGTCTTCCTCTTTATCAAGATTTTCAACTTGGCTTCTCCTCGAAGCTTTCCACTGTTCTTTGTTCTCTAGATCAGGGGTCCTCAAACTTTTTAAACAGGGGGCCAGTTCACTGTCCCTTAGACCGTTGGAGGGCCAGACTATAGTTTTAAAAAAAACTATGAACAAATTCCTATGCACACTGCACATATCTTATTTTGAAGTAAAAAAACAAAACGGGAACAAATACAGTATTTGTATTTGCATGTGGCCCGCGGGCCGTAGTTTGAGGACCCCTGCTCTAGAGAATACACTTCTGACCTTTGGGAGGTGGACTATGCCACATGGAGGAAGAGAAACCGACACCTGGGTGCATAATATAGAGGTCGAAACCTTGAATTCTGTGATGGTTAATTTTATATGTCAATTTGCCTGGGCCACAAGGTATCACGATATTTGGCTACACCATATTTCTGGGTATTTCAGGATGTTTCTGGCGAGATTAGCATCTGAATTGGTGGATTCCTTAAAGAAGGTAGCTCTCCTCAAGTCGGTGGGCATCACTCAGTCAGCGGAGGGTCTGAACAGAACGAAAAGGTGGAGGAAGGGAGAATTCCCTCCGTCTGCTCAACCACTTGAGCTAAGCCATCAGTTCTCCACTCCCAGGCCTGGGCTAGGATTTCCACCATCAGCTCCTCCAAGTCTCAAAACCTCCGGACTTGAACTTGGTCCAAAGCTTTCCCGAGTCTTCACTTTTGGTTTTGTTTCTCTGGAGAACCCAGAGTAATTATAGTTTCCAACCACTTTTTCATCAGAGTTTCAGCTAATCCCAGGATTTCAGCTTTCACCCTTATCCCAGCTTCCCCGTCTTCACAAGCCTCAAAGCTTGCAAGACCTCAGACACTAGGGTTCCCTGCAGTGCAAATGAGCTTGTTTTATGTCATTATCCCCCTCTGCCAACCAACACTCTGGTTGTCACTTTCTCCACTGAACAACCATTTGCCTCTCCCTGCCAAGCACTGCTTCCAGAATTGTGTCCAAATCTCTCTTCTGTTATCTGCGCTGTCATTTTCCTTGCTCGGTTGTTTAATATCCTTTCTAATGTTTTTGCCATCAATTTAATATATTTGGGGATAAGCAATCATCAACCACAACTACAAAATATTTTCCCTCAGTTATCATCTGCAAGAATCTCCTTAAAGGAAAGAAAATATGCTAGAGACAGAGACACATATGGGCATTTGTTAAATTTCTAATAAAGCTTATATACTATGTTTAGTTACACATAATATGTAATCTAAGCTATATTCCCTTGTGCCATTCACCTGGGTTTGGGTCATGGGGATGCTAACAGGCTAGGAATTTGACAATCTTCTCCGCCCCTCTCAATCTTCCATGATGCCTTTACTGGTGATCAGGGGTAGAGTTTGGTATTTTCTCTTTACGCATTTCGTGCACATTGTGAATTTCTGTTGCGGGTTTTCACATTGTCCTAAAAACATTTGTTTAGCACGTGTGTCCCACAGTAGGCGGGAACTGTGAAAATTTAGAACCATGCCTTATTCTTCTTTGTATTACTTTTGTCTCTTTCATGACTGTAGCCACAGATGTGTTTGCTGAAAGAATAAAGGTCTCCGGAGTCCCTTTAACTTGACCATTTCCCCCCTGGATAGTAAGCAATCCTCTGGAAAGTTGGGGGAAATGTGCTGAGGAGGTTATCACTTAATTAACACACCACCAATCAGATAGCTATCTCTCATGTGTTTGAGAGAAGTTGTGCCTTAGGAAGGGACGATATGATTTTGCCCTGAACAGCTAAGAACCCAATTACCTGGGTTTTTCTAATTGCTTTTAATCACTTGTCCTCAAAATTAGTACAGGCATTTTTTAAACTTATTTTTAAAAAGACCTAAAATTTTTAATATGCCATAAAGGAATCCTTCAGAACGGAAATATGTTAGAATAGATTGATTATTTTAGTCAGTGTATGTGTATGTGGTGTGTGTATGTACGTGTGTGTGTGTGTGTATGTGTGTGTGTGTGTGAAGGGTCAGTCATTTGGCTGGAGCAAAAGTAGGTTTATAGTTGTTCATATGAAAAATAATACAATAATGAGAAAATAATAATACAAGAATAAACTGTGTTTTGCATACTCACAATTGTAAATCTACTTTTGCCCACTCCTGTATGATGTGAAAAGTGCCCAGACTTCTATCTCTAGTTTCCACTTGATATAGAGGAATGAACAACTGCTGTCTCCCTTGAATTGGGAAATCATGTTAAATCTCCTTTTTAGTTTTGTTGTTATTGCTAATTTTGAATTGAAAAGAGACGCACTTTCAACTTATGGCCATTTCTCAACAACAAAAGCCTACAAAAAAAATAAAAGGATTCTACCCCAAACCTGATAAAATTGGTAATGGTTATCCAAACATTATCTCCCCCATTTATTTTACAGATATTTGTAGCTTTGGGGCAATCTGATAGATGGAAGTCTAATATTTTCAAAGAGATTCAGTCAGAAAGGGAGTCATTCTAATTAAAATTGCGTTCCGTCTCTCACAAAACGATTCACTGAAGGACACATTGGAATAAAGACACTCTTTCATGCTCTCGGCGTTTGTTCACAGGTTACTAAATAAAGAGAAGTGAAGCTGGGCAAACAGGGACAGGGCCATCAAAGCTTCAATGTCATGGGACGTGTCCAGTGAAGATCAACCAAATAATGTCAAAAATTCACTCTACACACACGCTGATAGCAACTTCTCAAATGACATTGTCATGGCTGAGATATCTTATATTTTGATTTTCATTGTTTATGTTCAGTTCTTTAGATTGAGTGACAAAAAACATGTATACCTCGAAGTGATGCTATGAATTGTGGGTGCTGGCATATCGCTTGGAGTGTCTTCCATGGTGGTGACCTGGGTTCCATTGCTTTTCACACAGGCATATTTTGTGCAGACTTCGACCTGCAAATAGTAATTGAGAAAAGCATGGATCCAATTATTTTCAAAATCCAGACTGTCAATGACTGAATCTCACCCACCTTCATGTCATATGAATCTCTTAACAGCCTGTCGGGGTTAATTAAATATTAATTTTTGGTGTTAATTGACTCCAGTGGGACAAGTCATAGAGTGCAAGAATAGAGTGCAGAAGTGGGCTCAGGACAATTGATTTAGTGACTTAAATGGTGATGTGTAGTCCCTCCTCCCAACCATTCGGAAAGAGACAGACATATTGATATATTCGGAGCCCAGGTAAGGGATGGAAGATGCCTAGGGGACAGTTTGCAAGCATAAGAGTCATCACTGTGTACTGCTCTCAGAGCCATAACCAGGTAGTATAATAATGGTACCTTCTGGGAGTCCTGACACTTTCCAACACATGGCCTAGATGCGAATGTCTAATAAAAAATAAAAAAACACACAAGACCTAGAGAAGACTTCCAATACGGCTGAGTTCTTTTATATCCATTTGATGCAGTATTTTTTACCTTAATCCCAGTAGAAACTCATCATTTACTTTTTAAATTCTGCCCCCGCAGCTGAATAAAAACCGAGGAGGGTTTAAAAATTGGGTTCATCAAGCATTATTAAAACAAAAGAACACGTTCAGCAAGAGGAGAGAGAATTGAATGTACAAAAGATCGAGCCTGGAACATCCAAGAAATGACATCATTCTGTTCTCAATTCAAGGATAAACCAAAGAGGAACTAACTGTTCCTTTCCCAATGCTAATTGACTTCCATTCATTGATGCCACCGAGTATTTTGAGGTAATATCTAGTAGATATTTAAACACTATCAAGGCCATCCAATTAAACCCCAAATCACCTCAAGGCAGATGAACTTAAAATATACCTGCTGGTAATGGAATTAATGACAATAAAACTTCATGCATATTAGGGAACATTTGACTCTGTGCATAATGAGGTAACTCAAAATCAACTCAACTGAATTTATTATGTAAACGATACGTGCCAAACGTTATGATGGGTACTTACAGCAATAACTTCACTGAGTCCTCACAATTCCATTTTCATATGTTTGCAAACTGAGGGCCAGAGAAATCAGGGAATCTGACTGAGTTGGTAAGATAGGAGAAACCTTATTTGGGCTTTAATATACCCCATCGCCTTGTCATCTAAATATGAAGTATACCTTTAAGTTCTAAACAGCTTAGGGGTCTTCAAATGAATCTCTCCAGAAGATCTTTGACTTTGGAGAAATATGTCAATATTTTTTCTCATTCTTATAAATGCTAAGATAACTCGGGTGAAGTCATGGAAATCATGGGGTAATTAAAAATAATGTATGTCACTGTCCTCATCACACTTTTTCCCATATTATCATCACTCTCTTCTCTCCAGGGATTCACCTGTTTGCCCACCGTGCACAGGTTTAACCCTGATCAGCTTCCCTCTTTCCTCTCTCCTTCCCCACCAAACACATCACCTGTAACCAAGATGGAAGGTATACACTTGGAGACACCCCCCAGCATATTTTCTTTAACATACCCATGAGCATAACGATCAAAAAGCAAGGTGCTAACCTGAATGTCATAGACAGTGAAGGGAGACAGGTCTGGTAGGAGGAGGGACCCGGGCACATCCATCCCAGTCTTGTGGAGCCGGTTGTTTACACAGACAGAATATTCAGTGACGACGCCATTTGGGCTGGAAGGCGACATCCAGATGACACGTGCAGCTGTGCTGTTGATGATGACAACCTCTGGAGGAGGCATGCCCTGAGGCTCTGGAATTAAAGGGGAAAAATGGAATAAACTCCAGCTGTCTCTGCAAAAGCACTTATTAGAGTGAATGCAGATGAGTATTTGGGTTTCGCGAAGGGGGCGTTGCGTATCGGCTCTCCACTGATGAAGTTATCACAGGCTTATTATACTCTCAGTTAGAAACCATGAGAATTGGTGGTAAAAGGCTTTCCACCACCGGCATAGTGCTAATCTTCGATGCTCTGTGACCAGTGGGGTACGATGATAAATGATTCACCCATCTGCACCACTAACATAGCTATTATTTGTCTCCTCTCCCATCCCTTCACTTCGTACCTCCCAGGAAGGAGGGTGGGGTGGGGTGGGGGAGGGGAGAAAAGGAAATTCGCTCCTTAAGCAAAAAATAAAACTCAAATACATCGAGGCTGGTGGGACGTGAAAAATCATTTGCTGTGACTAGCTTGTAACTCAAGCAATATGAAGCGATAATGCAATATTGTCATTATGCAAATGATTTCGAATGTTGATTACCATAGGTAATGATGAAATCCAGCATTAGAAAAAAAGTCTTGCTTGGCGTTAAATTACACAATTATTCGAGCGTGTCAGAAATAACTATGTGGAGACCTATTTTTATCTTAAGAACCCATCTTAACTGGTTGAAAAATTGTCCTTGTGATCCATTCTATTTTATAAACAAAAGGTGCCGACCTCTGGCACCTCCGAGGGAAATGGGTTCCTCACTTAAAGTGCTCTCCTAATGACCTGGAACACTTGCTTGGGAGGTAATGATATTATAATGTTTATAATGAGACTTTATAAAGCCAAAAAGATTAGAAAGACCATTCCGAACTCATTTCAGATGCACACGTTGCTTTTCTCTGCATCCTCCCCCTCGCTAGCTGGCTTCGGAGTGAGTCACAGGCAATTTTTCTCAGGGGCTGAACTTCCACCCACCATTTCTGGTGACTCAGGGAGGGCCCTCGCTGGGCTTGGCTGCCACGTTGAAAAGCATCCTGTTTCTGAGAGCAAATCTTTGTGGGGGGAAAAAAGTCTCTAAATGTCACCATTTATTGATGGGAACTCGGCTCCAAACTAAGCATCCACGGAAAAGAACAGGAACGAACGGGGCTAATGTCCCATTATGAGAGCCCGGGCTGCTGTCTCAATGGGACCGCTTATTGATCCGCCACTCGATGACAGCAAGCACTTAAGATTTTAGCCCCGACCCCCTCCCCTCCAACACCGGAAATTTTATAATGGAGGGCTGACTGATCTCAGCCTCAGCAAGAATCAATCAATTTCACTCGCATCCCTGAAGCCCAGCGAGCATCCCTCGACACCTGGACTCACCCCCATCGCGAGTGGTTGCATACAGGACATCGCTGGTGATGCTGTGGACGCCGTTGAAGACAGAGATCAAAATCCGATACTCCGTGTTTGGACTTAAGTGGCCAATGACATGAGCATTTACATCTGGGAGGATTTTCAGAGATTCATTTGAGGTAGCAGAACTCCAAAAAAGCGTATAATACTCCACGTCACCTTGTAGGTCTTGAAAAGCTGTTAACGATAAACACACAACACCTTCAATGTGGCTGACCTAAAAGGGCCTCAGGGGGAAAAAGACAGAATAAACTCTATGATTTGCTACTCCTAGAATGGGATGGAAGAAAGCATATGGAACCTTCCTTATGGTTGTAATTAAAAAAATATTTTTATTGACTTCAGAGAGAAAGGGAGAGAGGTAAAAGCATATGGAACCTTCCTTATGGTTGTAATTAAAAAATATATTTTTATCGACTTCAGAGAGAAAGGGAGAGAGGTAAAGAGAGATAAAAATGATGAGAGAGAATCATTGATTGGCCGCCTCCTGCTGGAAATCGAGCCCACAACCCGGGCATGTGCCCTGACCGGGAATCGAACCGTCACCTCCTGGTTCATAGGTCAACGCTCAACCACTGAGCCATGCCAGCCAGGCAAGAGAACAATTACTAACATTGCAAGAAGTAGGCGGCCTTGCCCAGAGGCATGACTAGTTAATGTCCTTAGGAGAGTAGGTTGCATAGGGAGGAAAATGATTATGCAACAATCCTTCCCATCGCTGACCCGCCTCCACGAGGTAACCTTGGTGCCCACAGTTACCTGAAAAATGTCTAAGGTATGAGTGGGAATAGCGGCAGATTGCATTACCTACATCCCGAAGGTCAGAGGTGCGGATGACCCAGGTAATGAAACCTCAGCGAGCTGCTTCAGATCTATTAGGTCTGTCGGTTTTTATAAGCAGGCTCTCTTCAGGCATGCAGTTATAACATGAGGGGCCTACAGGCGGGAAATTCAGCAGCTGGACCTCAACAGAAGCATCCAAATGTCAGCAGGGGAAGGGGGTGCCATGAGGAGGCACTTAAGATGGATCAGCAGCTGGACCTCAACAGAAGCATCCAAATGTCAGCTGGGGAAGGGGGTGCCTGCCTTCATGAGGAGGCACTTAAGATGGACCAGGAAGGGAAAGAATAGAGAGGAAGAGGGAGATGAGAGAAAATGTATTCTACTGTACAGAAGACTCCAGCTCCAGATGAAAACTGTGTATTTTTCCCAGAGGTGTCTCAGAGGGCATCGTAAGTGTCAATTGACCGACATTCTTCCATCTAAACAGCTAAAATCCCAACAGAAGGGACACCGAAGACCTTATAAACACCCTAGAATGATAGTCTTTTGCAGAAGTGGATGACTTACTGGCACCACAGATCAACACAACCAGTACTAACTTTAATTTACAATGAATGTCACCTGATACTGGTTTCAATTCACAACTGATACAACATTGGGGCAGATTCACACAGAGGTTCTAAAATGAAATAGGAAGTGTGTCTCCTCTTATGCTGTAACAAAACTCAAGACTGGATCAGAATCCTAACGGGGAGTAAGTTCACACCTTTCTGTATTATAGGTGACAACCCGAGTGGGTGCAGTTTTCTTGCGTTAAACATATAGTTGAATTGGGGCTTTGCAAGTCCCATATTTCTCAATATTTGGTAACATTCTAGCAAGTTTTGATTCAATTATTTGCCAGATTTGAAGTAATGCTTATAGGAATGATTATAATACATATATCTATGATGTGATAGATGCAGTATTGTTTTTTAAAAATATATCTTTATTGATTTCAGAGAGGAAGGGAGAGGGAGAGATAGAAACATCAAAGATGAGAGAATCCTTGATCAGATGCTTCCTGCACACCCCCTACTGGGGACCAAGCCTACAACCCAGGCATGTGCTCTGACCGGGAATCGAACCGTGACCTCCTGGTTCATAGGTCGACACTCAACCACTGAGCCACACTGGCTGGGCATTTTTGTTATTTTCTGATGGAGATAATGGATCGCTGTGAATTAAAGGTCAGCTCTTACATGCTCCTCTACCGACCAAGCAGATCTGAAATTTCAGCTACTGCAGTTTCTGAAGTTGCAGGGAAGACCGGATCCATCTGCAAACGCTCCTCACCGCCTGCACAGAGGTGATCTGCATGGGGTCAGGGTGAGCCCTGTGTCACTGACGCACGCCCAGTGCTGACGGCCAGGCTCTCTTCCTGTCTCGGGCTGGAATCCCGCCTATGACCAGGGCCGAGGATGAAGGACGCAATGGGAAAACTCACTCACATTACCGCCCCCCTCGGAAATGGCTCCCGCTAATAAGGCGTGAGTAACAAGACGCAGGGCCGAGTTCTCTGCAGGGAGGTGCACGTACAATGGGATGCTGTTTCCAGTGAATACCCGGGCATTTCCATCACAGCTGCTGGACACCACAGTCCAACCCAAAGGGGACAGCGCAAGAGAGGGAAGGCCTGGGAGGAGGAGGAGGAGGAGGAGGAGAGAGAGTCGGCCTCTGAAGAACAGCACAGGGACCTCGGCTTTTGTTGTTTTGGCTTTGGAACCTGTTCATTTCAAATTCACGGTGGTCCTAACGCATTAAGGGGAGATAAACACATGACAAGCAGCTTGCTTACTTGGTTTATCCCACCGCACGTCGAGGGCCGAGTGGTTGAGGACAGTCACGGAGACCCTGGCTCCTCTCTGCGGCAGGCCAGCCCACGTCGTCACCGTCGCTTCCTGGCTCGGTGTGAAACCCACGCTGTTGTGGACAAAAACTTTATACGCGTATGTGGTGAACCTACAAGGTTTGTAGAAGAGACACATATACATTTCTCTTGTACAGGAAACAAAACACAATTTCCTTGTTCCACAAAAATACAGGACTTTTCTGCACAAAATGCACAATTTTCTTTTTCCTCTTAACAGTATACATTATCTTCTTTTTCTACACACACACACACACACACACACACAATCCTTATTTTTTTAGTAACTCTTGAGCCTTAACCAGTCTCAGGAAAGTTTTGGAAAGTGATGAGGATTAAGACCCGTTCAAGATGCAGCTGCAAATCTCACACACACACACACACACACACACACACACTCTCTCCTTATTTTTTTGTAACTCTTGAGCCTTAACCAGTCTCAGGAAAGTACTTTATTAGGACCACGAAGCACAGACGGCTATTAAAGACCGGCGTGGTTTATTGTCTCCCCCTCTCACTGTTTTGGAAAGTGATGAGGATTAAGACCCGTTCAAGTTGCAGCTGCAAATCTGGCCAGTTTTCTATCTGCATTCCATCAGAGAGTTTCACGCTCCCATTCTGGGAAACACATCCATTTTCAAACATCAGAATCTCTCCTCACCATCCTCTTCCTGTACCTACGCTTCTTCCCAGAGAGATAAACCCTTAAATTAAATCCTAACTGGGGAAGAGAGCAATGTCCCCCCTGCTGGGAGTCTGGCCGCAGTGAGCCATCTTCTGCCTTCTTGGGAAGACAGTTACTTGAGTTAACCCTGTGGAAACGGAGTCTTGCTTTGTAGGCGGAGGAAGCCTGAGGCTGTGATGGGGACTTTCCAAGTTACACAATAAATGAGTCAAGCCATCGATCCTTGACTGGAATTGAACCTGGGACCCTTCAGTAAGAGGGCCGATGCTCTATCCACTGAGCCAAAGGGAACAGGGTTACCTATGGTTTTTAGCAAGTGCTAAATAGTCTACAATTCCGTGGTCAGCAAACTGCGGCTCGCGAGCCACACGCGGCTCTTTGGCCCCTTGAGTGTGGCTCTTCCTAAGCCTTAGGAGTACCCTAATTAAGTTAATAACAATGAACCTACCTCTATAGTTTAAGTTTAAAAAATTTGGCTCTCAAAAGAAATTTCAATCGTTGTACTGTTGATATTTGGCTCTGTTGACTAATGAGTTTGCCGACCACTGGTCTACATGACTAAGACACGTGAGAAGGAGTAACAATAGTATTTACTGACTAACGCGTGTTAGAAAGTTCCTACATGTGCTAATTCATTAGCTCCTCACAATTACTAGAAAGTGCTATGATGATACCTATTTTGAAAAGGAGGAAAGTCAGTCTCATAGTTAAATCACTTGTTTAAGTCGTCAAGGCAGTAGGTGGGAGAGTACAAATTCAAACCTGGACAGTCAGATCCCAGAGCCTGCTCTTCTGACCATCATAGCAATGACAGCAGTAATGCCAATCATAATGAGAACCTGATCTGTCCATACTCGGATGCCGGCATATCACTGGGGCTTGAACTTGGGGTATTTTTTCTAGCGGAGGGGATGGATTTTTGCTTACACATCCAAACAGTCTCGCCAAATTTCCTGTGTCACCACTAGTCGGAATTGGAAGGATGGGGAGTTGGGGTTAAGAGGGTAGCAAGTCTGTGACAATCGAATGAAATGAAGCTAATGGCTCACATGGGAATTGAACCTGCGACCTCGGCTTCATTAGCTCTCCTCCTGAGTAAAATAACTTTTAATTGTGTTTTACTCCACAACGTGGCTTAAAAGAAATTTAGCTAGGGTCAGGGTGCCTAATCTCCTACAAAATTTGAATTTTTCTTCCACATATCTGATGTTATATATTAAGTAATCTTTATGGCTTTAAAGTGAGTCATTTTTTTGACTCTTTTCTATAAGTGAAATTAACAGCACCAGATGGCACTAAATGGGTGAATTGTAAATAAATTCTGCAAGTCCTTATTTCTTCCAGTGATACATGAAGCTATTTCATTATAATTTAGGGATGGTGAAATGCACAATTTATGCCTGCGTAATAGAAATGTAGGTCACGTAGATATGCGTAATTAGAATGACCGTTTTCAAAGTGATATTACAATTTTAGAGATAGCTTTAGAGCTTATTTGCTTCAAGTAATAAAATTAGCTGCTGCCACATTTTACAGATAAGAAAACTGAGGCCCTGCGAAGGTAAGTGGCTTTGCCTAAGGATACACAGCTAGTTAAGGTGACTGAGTCTCCAGTTCCCTCATTTCTAATATTTAATTCTCGCCATTTATTTAAATGGTTTTATTTAAATGAGAAATCAGTAGGCATCTTACTTGACGTCATGCATTTGTCTTCAGCATTTTCTTTAATTTCCCTGGTGAAGTTAAAATTTAAGGAAATAGCACCTTGAGATCTTAAATAAAATACTTCCTTACACTGTTTTCATTGTACCTGAAACCTAATCTTTATGCAAGTATACAGACCCATGGCTCTATATGTCAGTTTATATATATTTCACTTTACATTTACAAAGAATGTGTTAGTGTGCTTACAGTGTTTTTAAAGTCACTTCGGGTATATTGGTTTTTGAGATGGACTTAGATGTTGATTATTATTATCATAAGAGACATTCCACTTAGCTAATAATAAAAAATACTTTTAAAAGAAAAATGCTAGATTAATGGGCTTCATATACTCATGCAAAACTTACGGATACCAACTTCTCAAAATATTGTGTTCCCTACGTTTGTCTTGAAAAATGTACCATTTCAAACCCTGTAGGAAACAGGTTTTTTTTGAAATCTGAACAGTGAACTAACTTATATTGAGTCTATACTGTAACTAGTAAAACCAATTGTTTGAAGGCCAATTTAGAAATCCCAGACTGTCACGGAGTTATTCCCTAAATGATTAATTTGTTGAGACCATCCTCAAGGCCCTCCCTTTACCAACACACAGAAAATGGTAAACTTATTGCGTTATAAACATGACTATGGCGTTTTTCCTTGTAAAACATAATATATATTAAAATCTTATTTCTAGAACCATACTCCTCTCAAGGTTCAGTTGCTATTATTCAAGTGAAGTAGCAAACCAGGTTCAGTTGAGATGATGGTTTTTAATCTGTTTACTTACTGAGTAGATGATTTAGATAAATGAATGAATAGATGGATATTTCAGCTGATTCAGTCCAGGAAGAGAGAGGGCGGGGAAGCCCAATAGAAAACTTCTAGTTCAAGACTCAAAGGATGATCACTCAGACGGGGAGATGACAGCAATGGTAGCAGCTGGGAGCAAGGGGTGCATGTGAGCTGTGCCAGGAGAAATGCTGATGTGGACCGAGCACAGAGGCCAGGTGAGGAGGCGGTGGCACACGAGGCCGGTGCTCAGTATTCAGAGTAGAGCTACTCAGTGCTGAGCCTACAGAAGTAACCTGATAAAAAAGGTGTCTGCAACGTTTTCTTAAAGGAATACCTGTGGTGCTTTAGAATTTAATTATGTTGCTTGGACTCACGAAGGGGTAGAAATCATCTAATCCCATTGAATCCCTTCATTTTATAAACAACAAAAGTGAAGCCAGAGAAAGTGACTTGCCTAAGGTCACCAAGCCAGCTCTCTCACAGGATGGACCAGCACTCACGTCTCCCCTCGCACCTGTGCAATCTCCTCCTGACATTGCCTGCTGGCTACTCATCTCCCCGAACTCTAGACCGAATTCTTCCCAGTGCCCAGCTTGTTAACTAAATAATTTCTGCGGATGGCAGTAATGATGTATCGCAATTATTCTCCAGAAACAGCGCGCATCTGACAAGTGCCCACTGTCACCCCAGTTTCATATATGTTCAAGATTTCCAAGTTCCTCTAATCTTACATTAATCTCTGTCTTGCTGGAGCTGTGGCAGAGGCAGTAAGTTAACATCCCCAAGTTCGAGCTCAAAAGGCTCATTTTAAGACGGCAAACGTGAAACAGGCTGACTGTTTCGGCCCGATGACTAACGGCACAGATAACGACCAAACGCGTTTCACGGCGTCACTGATAACATGCGCACACAGTGAAGACGCGACGGTACTTTGAACTATTCAACACGCTCCGAGCTCAATGCTAGCACTTGTTTTCATAGTTTCGTAATCTCACCTGCTAAGACCCTTATCTTCATAAAACCGCTGGGTTCCTGAGTAAATATTGTGCCACAGATTTAAATCTTCTGGGGGATTTGATGCAAGTGGCTGCTGGATTTTACGTCTCAGAAGCTCATATCTAAAGCAAAAGACAAGCAGAAACACTGGGATTATCTGAACTCACGTTATTACCAAAATTCCGGTGTTCCGTGGGATGAGTATGTCATGTGTGCATGTGAATGTAAAGAACACATCTTCATTTACGATTACAGAGTTTTTTCGAGATTATTATTTTTTCCTGACTCCAGTTTCAAACAGTCAACTATTTTGAACCCACCAACTCTATTCACACTTTTCTGCTATCAGTGAGAACGGTCACATTTTAGATTTCTTGCATGTCAGGTTTGCCAAGACTTTCTTGCCAGTTTTACACAAAGTAGAAATACAAAATGCTTATGAAGTTAATGATTTTCTAAGGCGTCAACCGTCATTACTTTATAAACAGTGATAATATTATCAACTCCATAGCCTTGGCTAAGGGTCAAGCCACTTCAGAACCACTCTTTTCTTACTTCTTATCTGTATCCCTGACTACATTCTCTACAGGTTTCCAGGTAATAACAGCATACCAAAGGATTACGTGCTGGCTTTGGAATTTTGAAACACATTTGTGTAAATGTATCCTTTAGAACATGCATCAAGTTTTCCTGACATCTAATAAAAATACACTTTGAAAATCAAGGAAGGACTATGTCAAGAATCATTAGAGAACAATGGTGGTTGTTTCAAGGGTTTTTAGTTCTTCACAAAATTAGGATATAGCTCGGCCGGTGTGGCTCAGTGGTTGAGCATCAATCCATGAACCAAGAGGTTGCTGGTTCAATTCCCAGTCAGGGCACATGCCCGGGTTGCAGGTTCGATCCCCAGTAGGAGGCGTGCAGGAGGCAGCCGATTGACGTCTCTCTCTTCGATGTTTCTCTCTATCCTTCTCCACTCCTCTTTCAAATCAATAAAAACATATTTTAAAATTAATAGATTTCTACCTTGATGAACGTGTATGGTTCTGTATAAGTCAGGAAACGTAATATGCAATTGTATGAAATTTATGAGTGGGGGATAGCCGATAAGGAATTGATTCTACGTTCATACGTGAGTTACAGCCTCCTTCCTTCCCTTCCTGGAGAGATGAGCCCACAGCAAAATCCAAAGCACAGTCCCTTTTTCTTACCTCAAACCAGGTCCATTTGGCCTGGATGGTGGCTGCCAAGAAACCCCAGCATACGATTCACTGAGTGGGACCACGGACAGCGGCTGAACACCCTGAGGTGGGGAGGGGTGGGTTGTAACGTGGGTGGGCAAACTCTCTGTGCATCCTCCTAGATGCCCGCTCCCCCCTGAGCAAGCCACGATGCTGACCGAGTAATCAGTGAAAGGAGTCAGCCCAGTGATGACGTGGCTTAACACTGCAGGAGTGACATTCATGATTGTGACGTGAGGGTCGGGCATACGGATCTCGTAGCTAAGCACATCTCCATTCTGGATGAGCGGTGGTTTCCACGTGACCTGGAGGAAAAGATAAATGGAATCAGTGTGATGACACAGGAACAGAGCAACTGAAGTTCATCAGGCCTGGAATGTCCCTCTGTCTGGTTTTCAGTGAAGTTGCTTGCTAAATGCCTACTTAAAAAAAATATTTGTACTGATTTCAGAGAGAAAGGGAGAGAGAGATAGAAATATCAATGACGAGGGAGAGTCATTGATTGTATGCCTCCTGCACATCCCCTACTGGGAATCAAGCCCGTAACCTGGGAACGTGCCCTAACCTTGAATCAAACCTTGAATGGAACCGTGACCTCCTGGTCCATAGGTCAACGTTCAACCACTGAGCCATGCCAGTCGGGTGCAAATGCCTATTTCTGCATGAGGCAGAGGTGAGGGTTGGGGTCAGTTAGCGACCTCCAGGAACTAAGGGAAATGCCAATCCCTGGGTTTGGCTTTCCATGTTGATACTTTCTAGGCCTGTCAGACCAGTACACACCTTGGTGATTCATCGCCCCGGCAGGGGACCTGGAGCACACAGAGCTCACACGGAGACAATTCACACGTCCACGCGCATCCACGGGGCAGCGAGCAGCAGGGGCTGATGGTTTTCCTGTTTGTAACTCAATTAAATGAAACGTCAGAACCCCTTGCTTCGCATCAGGAGTGTGCGCTCTAAACGTGTAACCACTTTTTTGTGTTACATGGTGATGAGGGGATCAATACTTGCATTTTCTGAGGACGCACAAGCAGGTTCCTATATTTCACTTGTGCATAATGAAGAAAGTAAAAACAACATCCCCTATTTGCAAAGACAAGAGATGCACAGAGAGCTTTGACAAAGGCGAGCAAAGGATGACTGTTAAACTCATGGGCTTGAGCGTCAGACGTAACAATGAGGTTTGATAATGGAATCCTATGTGCAACGGTCCTTTCGTCTTCTGGCTAAATTCTGCAGGGGCACATTAGCAACACATTCGTGCTCTTGGAGTGAAAAAGACCCTGGAAAAAGTGCATAGGCCATGAGAAGTATCACTTATGCATATGCCACCCGCGTTCATCTTTTATTGTTGCCTCTCGATGTCCCTGACATTTTAGAGTATATCTCTTAGATACAGACTATAAGCTTCCTGAGAGCAGGGTCCAAGTTTGGTCCCCATGTACCGCCATGCCCGCAGACGCCATGAGAAGTATCACTTATGCATATGCCACCCGCGTTCATCTTTTATTGTTGCCTCTCGATGTCCCTGACATTTTAGAGTATATCTTTCAGCTTCTAAATAGACTATAAGCTTCCTGAGAGCAGGGTTTGGTCCCCATGTACTGCCATGCCTGCAGAGTTCAGTAAGTAACTGTGATCATGGCTGATTGAAATATATATTTAGCCTTAGCATGCAATTCTTTTTAAATTTTAAAAGACACATTTCTGCAAACGGGTATATGAATTATCTACATTTGTAATCTCATACAAAATCAAAGTCAGAAGAAAATAGTAAAAAAATAAGGAATAGCCCAGCTGGTGTTGCTCAGTGGTTGAGCATTGACATATGAACCAGGAGGTCACGGTTCAATTCCCTGTCAGGCTCGTTTTCTCTCACCCTCTCCCTCTGTCTCTCTCTTTCTTCCTCTCTAAAATCAATTATTTAAAATATTTTAACAAAAAATAGGTGAGAATGATGATTAAGACTCAATTCCTTTTACATTGGTTAAAGTACACCCCATAGCAAAGCCGTGCCTGGACACGATCCCGGTGACACCACTATTCCTGGTGGCAGCCTTAGAGACTCAGCTCGCTGGCCAGGGTGATCTAAATGTCTCTCGAGTGAGCGGAGAAGCCATGGGTATTGTTTTATTCCTAGGTGAGGTCACAAAATCGAAGAAAAGAGGGAATTTAAAGGGAAAAAAGGAAGAAAAAGCCAGGCAACTTGTTTTGGAGGCTTTGTGATCATCACTGATGAATAAGTGAAACAGCATTGTGCACTGAGCCATCCTTCTTTTAAAAGTTTTTGTTCTTTTTTTTTTTTCAGGCCTGCTTATGAAATATTTGTTGGGAGAGAATCCAGAATGATGCCTATCACACAGCTCTGCCTTTGTGTAGGGGACCGTGATTACATCACATCATATTGATGGGGCCTGCTACCCGAGTTCTGCAAAAGTCCCCCAGGATCAAGACACATAGTCATTTCCCCAATGATTAACAACTCCAGGCTTGTTTGGGGGTTTTCTTTTTACTTTGAGCGAAGAACAATTCTTAAGCTTACCCCATTCGTATAATAAGCACTGTGTGCATATCATGGACTTCCAATGAACTTCCTTCTGGTGTTTTACCCACAGAACTCTAGACACTTTTGACATTCCTATCAAAAACAGGTGTTGCTTTGAACAGTCTCATATGGCAACCAAGTCATCAAGGCTTTTAAACATAGCATCGAGCTTGGAGGCTACATCAAATGTCTTCCACAGTTTCCCCTATTGAGCATCACCCCGTGTTTGGTGTGGGTGGGGGAGAGCGCACGCGGGCACCGCGTAGATCCAAGTCATAATTTCAACAGATGAACTTTGCTGTTATGCAAATGTCCTTTGTTTTGTGCTCTGGTGAGCAAGCTACTGTACCGATGCTTTTGGCAGGAGTACAAGCCCGGAGCCATGGAAGCATGTGTGTATTTACACAAAAGAGGCTCCGCAGCTACACAACTCCCTCCTGTTTGGTTACACTAATTTCCCTTGAATGAAGTTTGTATGCCAGCCAAGACAATGGCAGTTAGCCCGTCCTCTGGAGCGTTCCCAGGAGGACAAGGCGAATAACGGAACGCTTTCTAGATCGCCCAGTAATGCCCTATTTTAATGCCGTTCCCCATCATTTTGATTCTTTGATCATTAAGAAAATATATCAGAGTTTGGGTCATTGGGACTTCGGTTAATATGCTAATCCAGGTCTCCGAGCTTCCCCAGCCCCCCTCATTCTCTGCTCTATTTAAATCTGACGTGGTGGTTAGGCTAAGCATCCCATCGTGGTATTCAAAGTATTTCAGGTGTGTGAGGGCCAACACAAGCATCACCACGAGGTAATTAAGGGGACACAGGGAGAAATGAAACACGGACATCGCATTCAAGAGCGTTTGGGCCAAGGGCCAAAGCCCAGTTTCTCCAGAGCATGCGTAAAACCACCAATGTGTGCGTTTTGTCAGTAGGTGGCTCTGTTCATCACAGAGTCCATCCAGGGCCCATGCCTACGTCTGCAGACAGAACACCCAGTATCTTACCTCGGCTGCCCCGGGTCCGAGCACGCGCACCATGGGGGGCTGCACCCCGGCGGGCCTGGAGGGCCTCGTGGTCACCTCCGCCCAGGCGCTGCTGTTGGTGCCCCCACGCAGAGTGCTCATCAGGACCCGGTATTCGTACTTCGTCCACGGGCTGAGGGCGGCCGTCTTGTCCATGTACCGCGTGGAATGGTTTCCCGGGAGAGTCACCAAGGCAGTGACTTCCTCCTTCCCCTGGACCCTCCTCTCGATGGTGACGTTCTCCACCAAGCCGTTGGGGTGGGCAGGCGGTTGCCATGAGACGATCACAGATGTCGGGGTATCGGAGAACAACTCGGGGCTTGGGATGCCTTCCGGCGCGTCTGGGGGTGTCCAGACAGCCTGGGACCGGGGGGAGAGGGAACAGCCCCGTGCGGTGCAGGCTTCCACCTGGAAGGCGTAGGCGGTGTGTGGGCGCAGCCAGGTCACGGTGCGGTTCGTGGCATCGCCAGGAGCTCTCAGGAAGAGCTGGCCGAGCTGGTACAGGTTATAGTGCGTGAGGACCCCGTTGGGCTTTACAGGGCGCTGCCAGGTGACCAGCATCGCTCTCGGGTCCACAGCCAGGAGGATCGGAGGGTCCACAGGTCCGGGTCCTATAGGGTTGAATGAAACCCAAAAAGTGATACAGCCTGGAAACGCCCCACGTCTCCTGAGAACAAAGCTACGAGGAGCACTAACCCTCCCACAAGGTCACGGAATGGGACACCCGGGAAAAGCCAAGGAGTAAAGACAGGGACCGGGATGGCGTTGCTCACAAACGTGCAAGAGGGACTTGCTGAGTAGCACTGAGCTAGACCGTCGTTTTCCTTTCTAAAATGGCTTTATCCAGATTGTGTCTTTTTCTTAAGGTTCATGCTAAGAAATAGCCCAAGGACTTTTTTGGAAATCAAGGCATTAGAGGAGAAATAGACACCAGGGCGGTTGTAGCCCAAGTTCTAGCTGCTGCCATGGGTTTTTCCTCAAGAGCCCCAGTCACTAATTATAATCGATAGCACTATCCTAACAAACTCGGTTTATAGCCCATTCACCCCCTCCCCTTGCCCCCACCCCACACCATTCACTCCATATTCCACGTTACGCCCAGCTCTGTTTATCATTCCCGGCCGTGTTTGGCAATTTATCTACTCCCTGTTAATATTACAGGTGATTTTTTACTCCGGCTGTGACAGAAGCTGCCGATGGAGCTCTTTCACCTACTGATAAATAAACAATGCACAGACCTGACCTTTGGGGGAACAGGTTTTACGCTCGCTCCACTCAGCATTCTAACTGATTCAATTATCAGAAAGGTTCGGGAGGCCCCGTGAATACTGAAGAAGGCCCGCCATATGCCCGCGAGGTGCCGCGGAACGCCAAGTACCCTGCAGCCCTCCAGAGAAATTCCCTAATTGTAAATAATTTCGCCGCGCGCCACCATCAAGTCACCTTGAATGCAAGCCCCTCAGCCCGCGGAGGCAAAGTGTTATTTAAGCTTTACTGGGCTGCGTTAAATTCTGCCATGTGAAGGGCTGTTAAGTTTTTCAATTGAAATTTCATTTAAAATGCAGGTGCTTTTTATTATACGGAGGCTTTACTGCTCTCTAGGTACAAGCAAGAACACGGTGCAATAACACAAATCTGCTCAATCACTGATCAGTAACAGCTGTAATTCCGGAACATTTAGCATTCTTATAAACCACGGCCCGAAATCTATCAGTTGCTACAGCAGATCAAGAATATACCCTATTCTCCTTTTCCTGCCCACAGCGATGTTGACATTTATGAGATTTTTTTTCTGTGAACATTAGATTTTTTTAAAAAAATATTTATAAAAAGTATACTTGGATTTAGTAATTGTCCCAAACAGCATTGATTACATGAGTGTGTGCGCACAGGTGCGATTCAGTGTTACACTCAAGGTTTGTTTTAAATGTAACAGCTGCTTCACAAAACCAGTGACTAAGGTCATGCAAGCCCAGTGTCATGCAACGCTGTCCATGTATTTGTCACCAACTGGACTGATGGTCGAATCGAAATGGCTATTTGAGAGGGAAGATGTTGCCTAGCACTAACCCTGACATCAAGTCATTGCTGACGATTTGGTAATGCATCCCATCGGGAGAGAAAAACCCCTACACGTCCAGGCATCTTGGTAGGGATCCCATTTGGCATTTTAGTCTGAGACTAGCTTTCATGTTAAAGCTTTCTTAAAACCACGGTGACATTTCTCACGTTTGCCCTCCGGTATACAGTAGAAGTGGCCATTATTATATCAAAATAGGAATTCCTTTCTTATTTGTACGTGTCATCCAAACTTGGCTATTTCCCAACAAAAAACCAGCGTGAATCTTGTAAGGTGTCAGTGTTGTTTTGAGAAACTAAATCCTCTGAGATTGGGGTTCATAAAATCAACGCTGGATCCAAGGCTTTCATATCTAACTCCATGCCACCCTTCTCCCTTAAAAAAAAAAAGCAACATACACTTACAACTCAGAATATTTTGTATTAGGGCTTCAGCAGGGTTTTGCATAATTATTTCTCACATGTGCCCTCTCAAACTGGGGACTTTTTCAAGGGGAAGAAACAACAAGGATGCGGTTTGATGTGTTTTGATGGGATACGCTTTTCATTTCTCCCGGATAAGACGCTATGTTATGAGTGAAACAGCCATGATAATGAGATGAACTTGTACTTCAGGCCCCCACGGAACACAGGCTTTCCCTCAAGATGATCTCTTATCTTGGGAAAGAAGATGCTCCATGTCAATTTCATGATTTCGCCCCCCTTAAAAGCCAGCGCATTTTATTAGCTCTCCGCTCGGAGTCGGCTCCCTGCTCCTGTCTCAAGAAGGGTCCTTAAACTTGTGTGACTCAGGAGAGGGATCCGAAAGCAGCTTAATTAGCTCCTCTGGCCAGGCAAGTGTTAAAACCCGACTCCTGGCACGGGTTCAAGTGTGTGCTTTAAAAGGACAGGCCGGATCGTCTTATTCTATATACAAATCAACCGGCATGCTACTGCGTGGTGGAAAGGGTCAGCACAATTATGTAAAACATGAGTAATAACTGTAATTGGGGCAGTTTGCTAATACAATAAAAAGCTCTGAACACGGGCAAAGTTATGCTCACGGCGGTAGCTATCACTTTCTAAAGGAAGAATTCATGGGTGAAATGACATGAAAAAGATGGTTATAAAATTTTAATGGAATGATAAAAGGCAAAAGTCAGCCTCTCAGCTGAATTCTTAAAATCCCAATATATCACCATCCGCCGCTTAACTGTAAAATCAATGTGGGGTGTAACATGTTGTCAATGCAGCTGTCACTGGGAAGTATGACAGCCACACAGCTCAGTCCGGCCAGGGATGGAAATACACCCACACGGCCGCACCCGGGGCACGACTGTTCGGAGAACTCCCTCCCGGAGCCGGGAACGGGGCATTCTCTGTCCAGATCCAGACTCGGAGTACAGGCCATTTCATTATTACAGCATCAATAACAGAAAGTAGTTTCATTTTGGCAAATGAAATTGTCTTTTATGGGAAACGATTTTGCTCCACGGCTTCAGAAGTTCAACCCCAGCCTTAGACAAAGCTGTTAACGAAGGGGTCTGCTTATTTTCATACTCAGGTGTGCATGTTGGGAAGGGTGTGTGTGCGCACACGCGCACGTGTGTAATTGTGTGTATGAATGAACGGGTGGGCCCACTCACGCCTTTTGTGTGTGTCTAACTTTCCCGTGGTTTTCACCTCTTCTAGACTCGCTTGCTATTAGTCACCTGCAACTGCTCAGTTTCCCTGTTAGGTCCTCATTGTTGGCCTGAAGCAACTTTTTACCATTTTCATTAAAAACTCACTCAGTTTCAAAGCCCTTTTTCAGTAATATCAACTCCACAAATAAATATTCCCAGAATTTCCCAATGAATTAAAAATCAAGGTGGCAAATATATGGATGCATAATTACACAGAGCAATATGTTATATGCTAATTGTTAATGTGGCCTTTTGATATTCACTACTGATATGCTAGCAGAAGTGGAGAGTGATGGAGTCCTTCGTCCCTTTAATCATGAAATCTATCAATTTATTATTTATACCCCAACTACCTGCCGACAGGATTTCTGACAGCTCATCATAAAAGACTTAAATGTAATAGGATCCATAAAATAAAGATAAAGAAATATTAATCTGATGATGATGAAAAGGGTTCAACAGCTTATCCCAAAACAAAGAGGAAGAACGGGCACCATGATTTTGCACCAAAATGAACATGCAGCTCCTTGGCAACTGATGAAATAAGAAAAGGCTGGTAACACAGGCGTCATCTACACTAATAAAAGAGAAACATGGTAATTAGTGTACGACCGCTACCCTTCCCATTGGCTAATCAGTGAGTATATGCAAATTAACTGTCAGCCAAGATGGCGGCCGGCAGCCAGGCAGCTGGAAGCGAACATGAGGCTTGCTTGCTTCAGTGAAGTTCCCCACCTGACTTGCCAGGCCTCTGAGCTGGCAGTTTCCACAGCCAGCCAACCTCCTGTGGTCCCTCCCCCTGGCTGGTTGGCCCTGATTGTTCACTGGGCCTCTAGTTGATTAATAAAAGGAACTGCTGAAGACCAGTATGTGTGAAAATGGAAAAGATATTACTTGGTCGTCTGAGAGTAGGAGAACCAATATTGGGAAACTATTTTTCTCCATTTCTCCTGAGATCAGGACCAGAGAGTATACATTAGTAAGAATTCTTTTTCTTCCAGAATTGGAGCATATAGTTCAGTAAATAGCTCTGGACCCATCCTTGAAGGTTTGGGACAGAAAATTAAGTATGCTGATGGGAGAATTCAGGAAGGCAGGAGTGCAGTCTGCAAAGAACAAGAAGTTCCACATTGGGAAGAGCAGGGTGCCTTATAGGCCCCGAAGGCCAGGCAGATAGACTTTTCCATTAACCAATCCATCCTTTCAAAGCATTTGTCTGCAAAGACATATATACCCCTATGCTCACTGCAGCATTATTCACGGTGGCCAAGACATGGAAACAACCAAAGTGTCCCCTGATAGATAACTGGATAAAGATGTGGTACCTATATACTATGTAATAGTACTCAGCCATAAGAAAAGATAAATACTCTCAGCAATAAAGATTTAAAATAAAATAAAAAGAAAAGATAACCTACTACCATATGGGACACCTTGAATGGTCCTTGAGACTATTATGCTAAGCGAATTAAGTCAGACAGAAAAAGCTAAGAACCACATGATTTCACTTATATGTGTGACATAAAACTGAAATTCACAGACAGCAGTAAGGTGGTTACCAGAGGGAAGGGGAGTGGGGTTAGTAAAGGGTAAAGGGGGTCAAATATATGGTGATGGAAGATGATTTGACTTTGGGTGGTGGGCACACAATGTAATATACAGATCATGTGTCATAGAGATGGACTCTTGAAACCTGCATAATCTTATTAACCAATGTCTCACCAATAGGTTTAATTAAAAATTCCTCAGATCACCTGGCTGAGGGGGCTCAGTGGTGAGCGTTGACCTATGATCCAGGAGGTCACAGTTCCATTCCAGGTCAGGGTACATGCCCGGGTTGCGGGCTCAATCCCCAGTGTGGGGCGTGCAGGAGACAGCCAATCAATGATTCTCTCTCATCATTGATGTTTCTCTCTCTCCCTCTCCCTTCCTCTCTGAAATCAATAAAAATATATTTTAAAAAATTCCTCACGGCCCTTTTCTCTGTCCACGAGAACTTCCCTTTGCACCCGCGCATTTGCTTGGGCGGCCAGTGCTCATTTCCTGCCCTGATGAACTTCCTGCCTGTAGACAGGAGATCATGCTCCCTTTTTAGTAAGCATTGCCACCAAGGTAATTCACAGTCACCCCTTCTTGATGGGCATAGAAATGATGAGTGCCAGAGAACAGAGACCATTTCTTCCCTTTTCCAGTGTGGCATTCAATGGGAATCACCTCTGCAGTGGGTTGAATAATTATGTTCAGGTCATCTCTTTATTCAATTGTTTTAACAATTATTTCTTTAAAACTCTATTTCAAGTGTTAGCTCTCTAGACCATAAATCTGTATAGAGCTTGTGACCAGGCTGTCCGCTTCCCCGGAGTGTATGTAAGTCCCCCTGAAGGGGAGTAGGTGTGCTGAGTGGCGCATTAATGCCTCCTGGGCCTTAGGCAGTGTTTACTGCGCTGTGCTGATAATTTGCTAAATGGTACCCTCAAGACCAGAAGGACTTGGGATGTGCCCTTGTAAAGGACCTAACTTGCTCCCAGGGAGAAATGGATGAAATAGTACATATTATTGTTCATAACTGATGTTTGTAAAATTAGGTAAGCTTTGAGGAACGAAAATAGTTCTGATTCTATCTCATCTGATGTCACCTCCTCACTACAATACTGTAATTAAGGTTACTGTAGAAATAAATATTCTACTGAATAAACAACTGGTACTGTTTCAAACACTATGCCTTTGGACTAATATCTAGGCTTGAGAAAGTTACTCTAGTCCTCACTGGACATAGAGCTGGAATGGCAATTGGCCAACAGAACAACATCTTCTAAGAAGCCCCGGATTAAAAGAATTGACAAGATTAACCCTAAAAATATCAATGCTCAAAGATCCAGTGTCCTCATTCACTGTGTGGCTTGCATTAATTTACAACTTCTCTAAACAAAATTTTGCTTCCACTGGTATGCTTTTATAGAGGTAGTTTGTATAAAACTAAATATTATGTCCATGAGTTTATTTCCTATATAACCTAGTAAAAACATATAAATGCAAACATAGCTCTTCCATGAAAAACTACAAACTTTCTGGGTTGACTAAGGCAACCCCAATCTATTGTAGGTATTAGATGCAGAATCACTGTGAGTAGATTCTACTTCTCTGTTCAGAAGGCTGTCTGTCAAGTGCAAATAGAAGTACAAGGAAACCTACTTCCAGGGGAAGGTATCATGGTGCTCTAAGCATCCTCAAACCGTCAGGCCCATAGTTCAGGTCTTCTACCTGCAGGAACCCCTCCAGAGCAGAGAGCCCTGCAACATTTGGTCACAGAGGACAACCTGACAAGCTTTCTCTCGCAGGGCACCTCGAGGTACCCTGAAGGATGGAATGGGGCCACGTCTGTACGCCCAGCCCTCCAACCCTCCAGGCACACATTTTCCTTCTTTCTGGAACATTTAACCACCCTTGCCCTACAAAAGACTATTGCCACTAGATGTCCAAAGAATACAGGAGGACTATTTATGAGTTTAGGAAAAACTAAAGACATTCAAGACTCCCCCGTGTAGAGGACATTTGGCTGCGTAGCGTGCAGAACACTTACTGTCCTCCGTCGTCATGAACAGAATCCAAGGGCTGAGCGCACTGCCAAATCCATTGGAGGCAACCACCCGGAACGCGTACTCCGTGTGCGGCTGGAGGTCCCTCACTTCATGGCTTAATGATGCCGAAGGACTGGAAAATAACCTATAGGGACACATTTTAGAGAGATTCAGACACTCAGAGAAATAAACAGGTAAGGTCAACATGCAGTTAAGCATTGCACTTTTTTGTCCACACATGCTACCTCTTTGAAAATGAGTAGCCATTTGGCTGAGGGTTCACAATATTGCATTCGTGTGAGCTGTATATGACAGTAGCACTCAGTCAATGCTAGCATTAAGCATGTTTGCCACATGGAACTAGTAGGATATGTATTATAATTTTGTAGCCACAGTTCACCAGACAGCATTTTGGGGGTTCAAGTGCATGATTATGATTCATAACAGTAGCAACATTACAGTTATGAAGTAGCAACGAAAATAATTTTATGGTTGGGGGTCACAACATGAGGAACTGTATTTAAAGGGCCAGAAGGTTGAGAACCACTGTCTAAGGCAGTGATGGCGAACCTATGACACGCTTGTCAGAGGTGACACGCGAACTCATTTTTTTTGGTTGATTTTTCTTTGTTAAATGGCATTTAAATATATAAAATAAATATCAAAAATATAAGTCTTTGTTTTACTATGGTTGCAAATATCAAAAAATTTCTCTATGTGACACGGCACCAGAGTTAAGTTAGGGTTTTTCAAAATGCTGACACGCTGAGCTCAAAAGGTTCGCCATCACTGCCCTAGGGTGTTGCTTGTTGTTTTGTTTGTTTGAACTTTTAAAAGGTGGCCTGGCTGGCTGGCGTGGCTCAGTACTTGAGTGTCAACCCATGAACCAAGAGGTCACCGGTATGATTTCACGTCAGGGCACGTGCCCAGGTTGCAGGCTCGATCCCCAGTAGAGGGCATGCAGGAGGCAGCTGATCAATGATGTTTCTCTCTCTTCAATGTTTCTATCTCTCTATCCCTCTCTTCCCCTCTCTAAAAATCAATTAAAAATAAAAACAAAAGGTGGTTTTTATTTGTTACAAATAAGAACGGACCTATTGCTCAAACACCTGAAATTCATCTAAGGCTATTAACCAATGTTGCCCCAGTAAATTTCATTTCACAAATGGGAACGAAGATGAAGCTATGGCTACACCGCGCCCCAGTGCCCGCTGGGAGGATGGAAGGGGCAGAATGCTCACTCTAGCAACGCAGGGGAGGAGGGGCCCGGCCTCATCTGGAGCTGGTAGCGGGCTGAGCCGGGGGCGTTGTTCTGAGCTGGTGTAGACCAGGCAACCTGAAGACTGGTCGGAGCGGCGGCCGCAAGCCTGGGAGGCAGCACGCCATCTGGAGCTGTGGGGACACATGGATGAATTAGAGCAGAGAAAACCGCGGCGAACATATGCTGGACGGACCGAAATGCCCCGTATCCTGGAAAAACTGCCGCTCGGGATCCACAGCCGTGTTAACCATGGCCCATTTAGTTTAACATCTTCGTCCCTGAGCCGCTGTAGGTCCCTATTGTTCACTTCAGCACAATCGCATTGGGATTTCACTCCCAGAAGCCAGCCCCCGAGCACACGGCAAGGCAGACGAATGCGCAGCACATTCCCACCTGGACTTCTGTTTGTCTAATTGAAAACACCGAGGGAGTCTAGTGCAGCCAATGCTGAAGCGCCTTTTCAATGTAACTTTTGCTCAATCATCAAGCAATCGACCAGGGAAGGAGTCCAGGGTTTTATTTCTCCCATGTCGCCCGTTCGCCGCTTTAATCACAGTGCTCATGAGCACACGGGCTTGTCATTTTCGTGTTGAGGGAGGTTTATTGTAACCGTGTTTTCCTACAATGATAAATACACAGGAATGGCTGCAATGAGCACTCTCTAGCCTTGATTCTCACCTATGAAAATGTAAAAGTGCAACCGCTTTGCGTCTGGGTTTTACACAGTCCGCCGCCCCTTCTCACCGTGACTCCGTCCTTATTCCAAAATGCTGCAAGGTGGGGCATGCGTGTTGCTTTTCCCAGGCGGGTGGGATCTCTGGTGAATCTTCCCTGAATTCAGTATACCTGCTTGATACAATCTACCGGGGAAACCTATTCAAACAGTTCTAGAAGGCCTAACAGGAAAGAGTAGAACTAAAACCTATTCTACTTACAAAGCTGACACAATGACTCTGGTTATTAAATTATTTCCCCAACAGGTATAACTTGAATGAACCTATCATATCAAAGCCTGTTCTAAAGCCCGTCAGGCACTCAGAAGCAAACGACACAAACTTCTGTGGCTTTAGCAAAATCACCTAATGACTCTGAGGTATGTTTCTCATCTTTAAAATGGGGACAGATTTTTTTCTTTTGCAGGATTGCCGTGAAGATCAGAGATAATGTAAATAAAGCACCTAAAGTTACATTGCCTCTGATCTGGCGATTTTTAATTTATTAGTCATGATTATTCCTATTGTTATTTTATTAGACTAATTTGAACTTCCCTTACAGTGCTACGATGTAATTTTTAGAAATATTCTTACTGTAATATAAGCTCCTTATGGTCCAAGATGAGTAGGGGCCATTGGTGAAGGGGAAGAGATCAAAACAATAAAAACAACTATCAGGGTTCATTTTCAACTTCTTTTATAACATTCGTCTCTGTGGTGTGAGTGTTATGTGCTCTCCAACTCGGGAGAACCTGCCTGTGAACTGAGAGGTTAATGAATGACCGGAGATGAAAAGGGAAGAATTAGATTACACGTCCCATCAATTTGTTGTCAGGGTTTCGAGTTCATCAATGATTTGCTAATTTATTCAATAACCAGGTATTGAGCCTCTCCTCTGTATGAAGCAGCGATCTCCTGTGTGGAGGGGGAACAGCACTGGGTGAAGGAGACGTGGCCCCTGACCCCACGGGGCGTCCCTGGGAACGGAGGCAGCAGGCCATGTGCACACAGATGCACGAGATCACACCGCACTGGGACATGTGCCCGGGAGGAGAGCAGAGCAGAGCAAGGGGAGGGAAAGTGGAAAGAAGTGCGTGATTTTCCTTATTTTATAACAGTTCGGGTTGTACAGGGAAGCCATGGGGAGAACTTGTCATTGGGTGACATTTGAGCAGAGACCTCAATGACAATAGGAAGGTGGCCGGGAGAATAGAAATCAGAACAAAAATCAGCTTTGACACATTATCAACATGAGACATTTGAGTAATAAATATATCCACCAAAATAATCTCTTCAAGTGTTAAAAACTACATCACCGTACTATCAGAAAAGAACAGAGAAATGTCCAGAAGGAGACCCCATCATGACAACAAAAACAATAATAATAATGATACAATATCTTGAGTTCTCTTCTGAGTGATAACAAAAAAAAGTACTCCATTCAATTGGTTACACTCTGGTTATATAACATTGCAAAATATTTCCAAACAGAGTGATCATCCTCAATTATTTAGGTAGCACTCTTCATTCTGCGTGCTTTCGGTAACTCTGAATCCTGGAAACCTTCCTTTCCCCTTTGGTTAACCCCTTTTATCCAAACCTATTCCTCAGAGGCCCCTTAGCCCCGAAGCAATAACTGGGAGCCGGCCATAATTCCATCCCTGGTTCCGTAGCAGGAGAGCCGCGTATCTATCAGCTTGATATATGGCCTCCAAGATGCTATGTTGCTCAAAACACTTCTCTCAAGTTTAATATGACCCTCCCGGGGCAAGCACTCCACAGACAACCTCCTGAATCAACACATCTTGCCCAGTAAATACTCATTCTACACGGCGACTGGAAAAAACAGCCACCCCGACCTATAAATTCAAAGGAAGGGTGTTCTTCATAAAATTTCAAATTTAACCTTTTTTTTTTTTGGAAGGCAAAATGAATACAAAGCTTTAAGTAATAAATTAAATCACAGATTGGACTAGTATAGCTGGTATAATCTTTTTTTTGTGGTATAATCTTTTGAATGCATGCTTTTATTAAACTTATAAATGTAGGATTTTATTAAACTTTTAGATAAATGTATACTTGTGGATCCTTCCCTATCCAAACAATGGTAATAAAACCACAACCCTTCCCCCCCAAAAAACAAACAAACAGAAGGCCCCAAACCTTTGCTCCATATAGATATACAGAACTCGGGGGAAAGCTCTATGAAGCAAAAAAAATAGACTTTTTTTTTTCATGTGACCAGTGACTTACTAAGGTTGTAGTGGCTGGAAGAGTAAAGTCTTGGGGACAAAATAAATTCAGTGGGATTCTCATAGCACCAACTTGTTACCACTGTGGTGTATGTTTTGTGTGTATGTGTGTGCATTTCGAGCCACTGGAATAAAATATTGCCTTAAGATACCAAAGAACTCCATCATAGTTTGTATTCAATGTAAACCTATAATAAAATACACTGAATGCCATTCTGCACAAGGCTCTTTGCTGTGGGTGGAAAAGGGCAGGGCAGATAGAAAAGGGATGGGCCGATCTACTTGACATTTAATAGAGATAAGACGTGACTCAAATAACTATAACGCCAAATATGTACACAGCATAAAAAAGTTGAGTGCTGCCCAGCTGGCATGGCTCAGTGGTTGAGCGTCAACCCATGAACCAGGAGGTCATGGTTCCATTCCTGGTCAGGGCACATGCCCGGGTTACAGGCTCGATTCCCAATGTGGGGCATGCAGGCGGCAGCCAATCAATGATTCTCTCTCATCACTGATGTTCTCTCTCTCTTTCTCCCTTCTTCTCTCTGAAATCAACCTATCTATCTATCTATCTATCTATCTATCTATCTATCTATCTACCTACCTACCTACCTACCTACCTACCTACCTACATACATACAGTGAGTGCTACAAGGGTTTCAGGAATCAGGACTCAGATGTGCATGTACTCTGGACCCCGCCTTTCAGAGGAGCAGCCTTGAAGAGGCCCTGCCACGGGGACACAATAATAAAAGCCTAATATGCTAAGTATCCGGTCATCCATTCAACGAATCAAAGCATAATACTAGTATGCTAATGATTAGTTCATCTGGGGCGATCAGGTCCTCAGCCTAATTCCATGGCCTGGGACACGTGTCCTCATTCCGAGCAGCCCTGAAGCTTCCCGCTGGCTTCGCTTGGAATCTGACCCCAGCGCAGCCCTAGCTACTCGCACCTCAGAGATGGTTGGCTGGCATCCTCGTTCAGGTCTCCCTGCTCACATCACATGGGAGAAGCCATGACCTCTTATCTGTACCCATCCTGCCTGGATGGCCTGGCATGTGCTCAAATCCCTCCGATCACACATTTTCCTCTTGTTTTCTGAAACAGCGACATATGAGGGAGGATTTTAAATTCCAGTTTCCAGAATGGAACATTAGAGTTCAGACACACATATTGAGTCGTTGAGTCATAAACAAATTGAAAACAGAAGGCCAGACTCCATTTCCAGTCACTAAACCATATGTCATTAAAAAAGAAATTAATTATGAGGAATATGCAGATGTGCTAACAAATGGACAGTCAACCTTGAGCACAAGGATGTACAAATAGAGCAGCATTAAATCGTGACAAGTAGGCTAAAACAGATTTCGTGTTCACAAAACAATCTCTTGCCATAGCTAATCCTTGGATCCTGTATGCTGTGGGCCAGGTTCCTTAACATAAATATTCCTAATTCTCAGAATCACACTACAGAATTGCAGTGTCAATTCTTTGTAATACAGATAACGAATCTGAGGCTCAGAGAGGTGACGTGTTTTATCTCAAATCACAAAACTGGGCTGCTGGCAGAGTGGGAATTTAAACTGGGATTGATGAGATTCAGAGACAGTGGCCCTAGTTCTATACCAGAACAGCATGCTATGGGAGGTGATTTATAATAGAAAATAAACATTAAACATATTAAATAAATGTAAAAGCAAATCACTGATACCATGAAATACATTAGTTGTAGTAAAGGCTGGACTTATTTTCTGTCCAAGTCCTACTCCTAAATAGTACTTTCTTAGTCTTATTTCTTCGTCAAAGCAGGGTCTCTGTCTCCTTGTAGAGTGTAGACTAAGAATATTCACTTAACAAAGAGGCTTCTGCTGGATACAGCACGATATTGTTTTCGGTATTATAAATAATACTAAGGATCCTGAGTATCCTAATCAATGCATCTTTGGTGTGCTTTCTAGAATCATGGGGTCAATAGGAATGAATGTTGCTGCCATTTCAGATATAATTTGACAAAGTGCTTTCCAGAAAGTTGCATTTACTTATACTCCTATTGGTACGGTATGAATGATCCATTTCTCAGTATCCCCATCAAAATGAGCCTTTGTCTACATGCATTTATGTAGCTATATACATATAATAGGTAATAATGTAACTATATGTCAT